CCCCTCAAAAGTCATGCAAATTTACAATCGAAGTGAGTGAGAGGTTCCTGGTTAATAACAGAGGGTAAAAAAAGAACATTACGTGAAAAATTATGGCGTGAGATGTCACGAAAGGAACAACTGCGTTTGCATTTTGTTTATGGCTCTAGGATGGGGAAATTTAATCCATAAAAATGAGGCATGAAAGCAATAAGCGAACGGAGGAAAACTGATAATTTGAGGATCAAGAAAACACAGAGCGTAGCAAAAACGAGCAGTTTCTCAAATTATGTGCAATAGTCAGGCCGTTTTTTTTAATTTTGAATGCATGTGCAGAGGCTTTTGGTCAATGCTGAAAATTTTTGTTTGACCTTGGAGCAGCCAAGATATTGAATGGCCATGCCAAACGGATACTACAAGAAGTAGCGAAAGAAGAATATACGTGAATAGAGACGAGACGACGAAATCTAATGATAAACCACTGTGCCATCGCAACAAACAAATAAATTTAGAAGGATTTTGTGGCGCGCAGATTCGTTTTGACCTAAAACTTGATTTTTTTGTCATAAGCAGGTTCCATTGCACGGGAATTGGTTGCAGAGTAGCTAGGATACATGACAATAACTGTTTTTGTCTTCTAGAGATTTAAATACGAGGTCGAGATGTTCAACGACACTCCCAGACTGCAGAAACTTCTCAGCCTTCTTTGGAATAATTAAAGTTTTTAGATTTGCACCTGCAATTCAAAAATCATTCCTTTTTTCCGTATGGAGATTAGAGCGCCTTCTTTTCCGCAAACGGTTCATTCACCTGCACTCGTTAATTAGCCAATAATTACGCGCCAAACCAGATTCGCCACCTGAGGGCTCGGATTGGCCGACCAATGATTAAACCAAAAAGAAACCTCGAATTAGGCAGACTCCAAGAATTCCGTATTTGGGCACGCGAAAACGGCGGTTATTGAAAACAAAAATGTAATTTGCAAAAATTTTGAAAGAAAAGTGCAAATATGAAATTAAAAATTTTCGACAAATCTCATTACATAAAGTTTATTTTTTCAACAGCGGGTTACTGTACACAATAAAAATAAGACAAGAAATCTAAAATTTAAAAAAATAACTCCCCCGATTTTAATAAAAGATAACGTCTCAAAAATCATCTGAATAATATATTCAAGAAATTCAGCGCCGCTAAAACAAATATCCTTCGGAATTTCTAGGTCCTTCAGCTAAAAGTGCAAACCAATTTTTGCGAAAATCCAGCTCTCGAAAATTTAATTCTATTTTTATAGAAAAGGGTAGTAATTTTAGTGGCCCGAGTTTTAATTATTGGCGTCGTTGAATCCCGAGTTGGCAACGGTAGTTTTTTAGAGCGGTGTACGGTGGAATGAAAGTTTCTTTTCTGTGCTTTTGTGAAAGTCTTTAGGACGACGGCAAATTTCTTGAAGCGACGTAATAATCCCAAGCTCTATGCCCTGACTAGAAACATTTTTCTAAAGCGCAAAGGTAAAAAATTTGAGAATTACGAGGATAAAATAGATGAGCGACGGCTTGCTTAAAGTCTACTCTTTCCTTGGGAACCGAAGACACATCTTCGCCGAACGCCCTTGAAAATCTTTGATATTAAGTCTCAAAAACTTTCTTATAGCGCAACCTTGCCAAAAAATTGAAGTCCGTACATACCAAGTCAAAGTATACTTGCCTTGATTTACTCGTCTGTAATTTTTTTTACTTATTATTTTCACTGGCAGCCATCATATTACTAAGTTACATTGCAAGTTTTAACTTTTAAAAAAGAAAACTCCCATCGACATGGAAGTTGCTAACTGTTCATGTTGCGGGCTTACATTATGTAATTTATTTAAAAATTCCTTAAGATTCAAAGAACAACCACTTTTGTCAACGAAATAAATTTTAATGACATAAATCCGCTCAGCTTACCTCCGAGAATTTTTAGTTTTATAGATTATCTGAGTCCAAAACGTTTCTTTGCTCCAAGAATCTTTCGAAATCTTAATCACTATTTTTAATACCGTAAAAGGGACCCAAGAATCTGATCATTATGGACTCGAGTCGCTTAAAAAAAGCTTTCAATGCAACATTGAGCAAACACGAGATGCCTAATCACCTATGTCAATATCGTTGATCCCTTAGGAAATGATTCCTAAGACCTCTAAGCTCTGGAAAAATGATAAGGACAGGAAGAAACCGGCCGACTAATCCTCATATCAAAAAATGGAGCGAAATTGAAACTTTCAAATTTGGAAAAACTGAAAATATCAACTCAATGTAATGAAGAAAATGGCCGAATATGTGCATATATACTTGTTGCAGCAAACAATATACAACTGTGGCTGATGTTCATGAAGTACTAAAAGTTTATGCTCCTTCTGTAGAAAACAATCTTTCCAAGCGCTGGTATTAAAAACCAGAACAAAAGGTTTGAAAACCCCTAAAACCATGTTATTCATCGCTAAAGCTTCCCTTTGGATATTGTATTTTTGGAAGCAATCAAAAGGAGGTAGACAAAAATATGACATTAAAAATCAAACGTATTAAAATCCTTGTTTACAGCAAAACTAGGTTATTGTAAAGTCCACGTTTCATGGACAAATAATGAACAATTATTTAAATTAATGGATCTATTATCATCAGAAACATTAATACAGCTTAACCGTTGGCCAGGAACTTTGATGTGTGATAAGTGACGATCTTTGTAAAACTCAATTTGCAATGGAATCTGTGAGCAAAGGGCCTCTGTTACTTTCCAGGAACAAACTTTTTTACCACTTACTTCAAAAGGTCAATGTTTTTTCCAAGAAATCCAAAAATACCGCCAGTACTTTAACTACTGTCACATCATCATTTATGATCGCGTCAGGTCGTTGGTTACACGGTAAGAAAATGTCTGCCGATTTGTCTACGTTTTCTGTAAATCATCGGGACCACACGGAAGTTGTGTAAAAAGTCTGCGAATGACAGTAATTCAAAGTCTGAGTATTAAAAATGACTTTTGAAGTCTCTCTGACCACACACTATGTGAAATTGATCACAGTGATTTTTACGTGGAACATAATGTGCGTATGAACTGTCCTGCCCTTTGCAGTCGCATCGAAGACACTCAACAACTGCCTTTGGCTTTATAAAAGCATCAAAATCTTTTGCAATATCTTCTCATATTGAATTTGGATACCCAATTTTGACCGCTTCTACTGCAGTGCCACAATTTCAAAAAAAACTTTGTCTGTCTCCAAAACTTTTATGTTGCCGATATTCCTTGTTTTCTTGCTCTGAACAACGTTCCTGTAACCATTTTCAAACTACAACCTTCTAAAGAAGAAACTATCGATAACACTGACTGGCTACAGTTATAGTTTACAGAAAGTAAAGATTGAGAAAAGGTCAAGGTTATTGTAAAGCATGGGGGTTTTACTTCCTTTTACAGGTTAAAAAAAAATCGTCAACGAAAGGTCGGACGTATCTCGTAACAAAGTTGAGATCATTCCGTTAAAAGTTGTGACTAAAAATGAGATGATCAGTTAATTAATCAAAATTTAAAAAATAACAAAAATGGAAGTTGAATTTCTGAGCAAAGCATAAAACTGTCAGAACACTTTTTAGGAGCTATGAGATCACAAGAGGAAATGGTTTCAGCTATATCTTGACAATTCCTCGTTAGAAATAAGGCCTGAATTATTCATAGACATACTATATGTACTTGCTAAGGAATGTCGAATTGTGATTTACTTTTAGGCTAAATATATTGATTATTCCTGTGAATTGCATGATAGGGACGTCACATAGCGAAAATGTTCAAAGTTTGTACCAACAATCATGAAGATGTATGCGTCACACTTAAGCATTCCCCTTGCTAGTCGCAATTTGCACTATCATTCATCATCAAAATGCTTGATGTAAACCGCCAAGACCGTAGTGTAAACCCTTGCAAAAAAACTGTAGAATTTTCTTAAAATCAATCGGAGCTTCAAAGCGGAAGACCATAATCAATTACAATGTTACGATCAAAAGCTCAGACGGTCTGCGGCGATATTGCTATCTATTAACTTCCATTAAAATTCCAAAAAAAATCTTGCAGCGAAATTATTGTACTATTTGCAAAAAGTGCCTACTGTAAGTCATTGTGGGTGTGCTTGGTTGACGTGGAAGACGAACCATTCACAGGAAAATATTTTAGCCGGATAAGAAGATTGTGTATAGCAGAAACACAATATAGAAATCTATAGTCCAACGCATTAAATGAGCCAAGATTTCCTCTTAATAATGCTTCCGTGGTCAAAGACCACCCTCAAAACATGACAAAAAACAGGAGGAAAACGCTGCTAATATCTTTCGTGTGATGTTTTTTGATTTCTTTACAATTATGTTTAGAGGAAGGGGAACTTTTGGATGATTAATAAAGTTAGGGGATTTTAGAAACACAGGGAAAAAGTACAAGCAGTAGTACATTTGCTGCCTCTTTTCTACAGAATAATTTTATCCACATAAAAAATCGAAAAAAAATAATTTTTTTTTTTTTTGTGTCCTCTCTCTCATTTTCCGTACTCTCTAACACACCATTGCAACATACCTCGACCACGCATGCAAAATACAAGCAAAAATAAAACCAAAAATTATATCTTGTAAAATTCACGAGTAATTGTTATTAAGCGTGCCATCATACGTCATCCATCCGTCAAAAGGAAACGTGTCTTTACAGTAAATTTTTTCAAACAAATAATACACCAAATGCCCTTAGGCACATTCGAAACGTCTCCGTTACACGATTGTTTAAAAGAAACTCCTCCAAATGCACTTTTAGATCGTACTTGCCCAAGTGTAAAGTGAATGAATATAAAAAATGTTCGACTATTACAACGATTAGACGTGAGAATCCAAGTAATAAAAAAATTATTGTTTTTTATTTAGTGTTAGTTATTGCCAAATGCAACTGCAGTATACAGTATGTTCCCATGAAAGTCATTGAATTTTTACACCACACCCAGGACTTCTGTGCCCTCAGGCTTAATACATCATTTCTCCGTGACTGTCTCGATTACTGGACATGTTCGATGTTGTGTGTGTACGGTGCTTTTGATTTGTCGTCGATGAGATTTGATGAGATTTTGTGCAGCAGAACTCACGACGGATCTCATTTCTCATGGTCTTGTTGAGGAATAAGTAGATGAACACAGCTCCACCTGAAAACAAAGGTTTTGGTCTCTCCTGTCTCATATATACATAAATGGAGAACTAGCTGAGATGCGGTCGGAATACGTGATAATTTATGGGTGTCTACACCAAACGTGTAGGTCGTTGGATATCTACATAATTCTGTCGATATCTTTGCAAGTCCTAAACGGGATGTTAGTAATGCAAGAGCTATTTCTTGCTTCGAGTTTAGTCGCATTTTCAAAAAGCCTTACCATGACTTGACTGCCATGTGATCTGTCCCACCACTACCATATACCCTGCTGTTTCGAAAAACTGCATCCTCACGTATACGGTGGCAGCAACCAGGATCAGCATACAAATCATTGTCGCCTGAGCCACAATCTAAAATACGCACTTATTTTTGTATTCATTTAGATTTTATAACAAAATAATTGAGTTAATGGCCGTTTAAAGACACTTACAGTTCTTTGCATTCCACTCATTGTATTCCTTGAGGCGTTTGTACCCGAATTCAGAAGTCGACTCTTCATTAGCACCACCACACAGACACAACTGTAAGCTGTTACCAGAACGGCGATTACAACCATATTATTGATGGTATGTGGCCAACTTGTGTACTAAAACAAGTCATCAGTACAAAAATTAGTAATGACGAATATTCACTTAAGGCAAGTCATCAAAATATAGTCATCTAATGACGTCATACTTACAATTTCCTTATCTGTCGTCGGAGTTCCAACAAACGGATCAAAAAAGGCCCCGTCATAAATTGAAGAGAATATGAGTGGAGGAGTGAATATTATGAAGTAAAGACCATACGCTGTTGGAGCCAAGAGCCAAAAGTACGTTCGGGAGCCGCCAAAAAGAACCTCCATCCATTCCGGCTTTATCAAATCGCAAACCCGATTCATCGCCAACATCATGCAAGCCATACAAGCAGAGCACCAAAGCCCTAAAAACTTTAACTACGTGGTATATAAATTTTTTGCAAAAGCTACAGCATAAGTTTGGACTATGTTTGAAGTTAATTCAACCAAAAAAATACTCACCCGTCGATATCGCACCCGAGATGTACATGAGGTCCGGATAATCGCAGAAAACATTTCCGTGCCAAGCAAAGAAACCGTCGATAATCGAATTTATGAATATGCAGGCCACATCAATCAGTCCTAAAAATCATCTCATCAATGCAAATTTACCAAAAGGTCAGCAAATATGAAAATGAAAACTTACCGAGATAAAACATAATTTTGTAGCAAGAGAGTCGCAGAAACCTTTTTCCGCTCATTGTGTACAAACAGGGAAAGTAGAGGACTTCGTACATCAGACCAATGGAGACATAGGTTGCTCCAATTACCTTATCAGGAATCCCGAAGCCATGCCATTCCTCCGAAGTAAATCGGGAGCAGTTATAGAGACGGCCATAGGCTTCCGGCTCAAACCAATAACGGTTCATCCTAGAGAGAAGGAAAGTTTTATTGTTAGATGTGTGAAAGAAAAACAACAATGCAAGGTCAATTTTTTAGGTATGAAATAGAGTGTTTCATAGAGCGCGCGGAGATTTCATAATTAGTTCCCAAAATCTAGCTTGAATTTTTCAATAAACTCTATGGACATCAATTGTAAGGTGGATGAGCTCCCTCAGATACTGAGGATAAGATCAGAAAATTCAAAGTGTTTGTTGACAAAATTTCTGCCAAAAAAAAGACATTTTCCAATCAGCATTGTCAGAAGGGTAGTGGCCCCTCTGACAAGGGCTATCTTTCGGCTGGGCAGGCTTTTAGAAACTTGCAAAGAAGAACGTGATGAATGTAAAAAGTTTTAAATATTACCACAGTCCCAATATTGCTTTAATAAATATAATAGTTTACAAAACACTAAAAGCCAGACGTAAAAAAGGGCTAATCAAATTAACCCAATCATATTTCTGGTATTTCCAACACTGCCAATGACATTCAATAATTGAAAAAGCAAACCGCTTCAAGTCACATCTGCACTTGAAACGTAACATATTTGTATGTAGGCGATTGTAACATAACTACGACTATGACCCAAAAAGACCAATTATAAATACGGTCGCAAAAAGCCGTCCTTTTTCATGGAAAATCGCTAGCCAAGCACAATGGCTAGTGGCTAACTCGTCCACATGGATAGCCAAGTATCTCGATGACTGTTGCTGTATTTAAGTAGAACTAAAAGAAAATCTATTGTTAGAAATACATAGAAACGACAATATTGCGAAATTAACCAAATCTTGAACATCTTACATTCTTAAACTCTTTAGAGTGGGGGAACTGATCCAGTGGCAAAAAAAGTACGATTTTGTATCCGGGAGGAATCAAAAATGTGGCAAAGTGCTTTCCTCTCCAAGTGAAAAAACTACGATTTCAAAAGCTCGTCTACTCTTTTTGTGAGGGAAAGGGCGCACGCGCGCACTCTTCAAAACGAAGTTTTTTCACTTGGAGAGGGAAGCATTTTGCCACATTTTTGATACTTGCCGGATGCAAAATGGTACGTTTTTTGCCACTGGATCAGGTCCATCACGTATAAAAAAATCCCAGGATATAGTACAGAAACCCATCCAGGCAAGTGTTCGGAGGTAGATTGAAGAAGAATAAAGGATTATAATTATTTGTGTACTAAAGTCTAATTATTCTGCTAACAATAAGCATACAAAAATTTTATCCTCCATTATGCAGTCTTTTCAGCGATATCAAAGAAAAAATATGAAGACATTTCACGTTTTACTAGATAAGAACAAATTATTCAAATCTAGACATCGGATATCAACCCTAGAGTCAACGTATCGTAATTTCATCGCGTAATACCTCCTTCCCTACCGTATACGCGAACAGACGCAACCTCCGAACAAATACCACCGATGCGGCAAAGAGCCTTCGGTTAAAAGGCAAGTATAACTATAGAACGTCTTCTGTTGAAATCCAAAGCCGGATTACCTTTAGCGGACAATTGAATAGAAATCTATTCAATTTTAATAATACCCTACGTAAATCAAGACGTCGGCATCATCATTCCTTTTTGCGGTTGGACAGTAACTTATGTCTGATCTTTTACGTCGGAGAACATTTTCTTGATGCATGTTTTTAATTTCATGTGGAGAAGACAATATATGTAGAGCAAGCAGAAATACAATGAATTGGAATCATGAAAACGGAGCGTAAATACTTTGAGAGCAAATAAAGTACGGATATTGGGAAAGTACAAAAAAGACGCATCTTTTAGGTTAGAGAAAGTTTTAGAACGTTACCGTTGTATGTGAGAATGTCAGCGCCAGAAATTAGAAGTCATACTGTAACGCTTTGTAGATGAGATATTAATGCTTTGAGGCTGGGCTGCACATAAGCAAATTTGGTTGAAGAAAAAGCTTTTTCTATTATATTTTTGCAAGTTCCTAGTGCACGATAAATGTCAAAGCCTTGAATTTGCAATAATTGAAAGAGTTGTAAAGTTGTGCATTCAATTTACAACGTTTTCTTCCAAAATACTCATGTATTAGGTCGTCCAACAAATAATGACCCTCTGTGAGAGGGGCAAAGTTTAAAGCCTCTAAAAAAGGCAAGCGATGATGGAATTTCGAAATATTATAACATTTTTAAGCTGAGATTTCAGGCTTTCGTTTGATGTATCGTTTGTCATATTGGGACCAAATTACAGTAATTTAGCCCTAATCGAAAATTATCAAAAAAAAGTCGGTTCGCGCTGTCATCTTTTACGGGCAAAAACAGGATGCGAAAGTTTCACAAGCTAGGCAAAGTATCAACGCTATGTTCGACTAATGTGTTCTGAGTCTGAACACGGTGAAACGATGGATTTAAATGTTACGATTTGACGGCAAGGGACCCAAAGATAAAGTACGGAATTCGAACTTTATCAATCTTCCCTGAGGTCGTCGGTTGACGAACATCCTAGAATCAACATCCAACGCGTCTCTGACATCGTCTGGCTGTTGAAATAATCGGCGGTTAACCATTCAATGTCGATGGAATTCAAACAATGCTCGGCAACTTTTCCCCATGTTATTGGATCAAAGCAAAGAGTGGAAGCATTACATTTCCCGCGTTTGCGTGCCGTTTTCTGGATCGAATCGTCCTCCGAGGGTATCACTGCGGCACTTGTCAAAGCCGACTCCCCCCAAAACAAGGTGATGACTAGCTCTTGATGGTGCAGCATGGGAATAGTACAATACAGCTTCTTGAAACCTGGCCAAATTGTAGATACCATCCCCTACTGTATCCAGATAGACAGTTTGTGGCAGCGTCTGTCTTCAACGATGCGCCGCAGAAGTCCAAAATTTCTTAGCGGCTACACGGAACCTCTAGTTTGAAAGATGACCCCCCAGAAGCCGATTTAATAAAGATCCGAGACTGTCCCTCGTCCAGCCTATTTGTCAAAGCTGGCGTATTATCATTACCATCAGTTCAAGAATCTAGCACGTTTCACCAGTGGTAGGGAATTCGACAATCAAGACGCCCTTGAAAAGGCCTTCAAAAGTTTCATCGGCTCCAGAAGCCGGGATTACAAAGCTACAGACATAAAAAATTTTTTGGCACGTTGTAACAAGCGTGATAAAGCGCATGATAATTATTTTGATTAAATAGATCGCAGTTATTACGGTAAATTTTGCCGAAAAAATAAATTTTTCGAAGAGGGTCATTATTTGTTGGACAACCTAATATTTGGCTTATTTGCTTATTTTTCCATTTGATTTCGGTGTGCCACCTTGAAGAAACTTCGAACTTTCTTTACTGTATCACATGAATCCCACATTCTGTTCACCTCATCTGTAATCTCTTCCACGTTCATCCACGGATTGCACTGTTGGTACATCTCATTTCGTTGCATTCACCCCTCGTTCTCTCCCCGACCAATCCCCATTTCCAGCGTCCTCCCTCGGCTGAACCCTGTAAGGAATAACAAAAACACGTTTAACAATCTGGGGATTTGCAAACTTAATTATTGTTTTCAGCCTGAGAAACACTCAAGTTCGTCCTGGAATTTAATTATCGATAAAAGTAGAGCGGCCAAGGGAAGTCCCGGGCAATGAGCGGCGTTGTGCGACAGTCGTCAACAAACTCGGAAGCGAGCTTCTTTTTTTATTGTGTCTGCGTTTGCTGGAGCTCGGTTTACAATTGAAAGTGGTTTATAAGAGTAGTTGCTTGGTTCTGGTTTCGGGTAATTTGATGACTTTGCAAGAGACACAACTGGATGAGCGTCGGAGTTACTGTCTGATCTCCCCATTCGCTGTACTCTCTTGCGAAGGAAAATTTCTCGGCTGTCGCTAAACAATACGAGATCCAACTTTCAGCGAATTATTTGCTGCTTTTCAGAACACGCTTACAAAGTTTTAAATAGGAAAATAGAATATTACAATCTTATTACGGTCATTCCATTCCAAAAAAATAACGCCGTAGGTAATTTCCAGAACTGAGAAGTAACCATTGAATTGCATTTACTGTTCCATATTCGGGCATTTTCTATGACAATCCACTCCGAAATCTCAAAAAAGTGTGATATCCTGTATTTGCATGAATTATATATTGTTCTGGGCCCTTTTAACGTCAGGATAATATTAAATGTCCCAAACGTCTGGCCATGTTCGTTTTTAACACTTTGTCACTTCTGGGGGTGGCATTAAATTCGAGAATTGTTTGAATATCTGGGATGTAAGAAATCCGAGGCGTCTAATTCGACGGTTCATATTAGAGGAAATTTGATAGGAATACGACCAACGATCGTGTTTTTGAATTATTCGGACTGTTTTGTATAGATTAGTTACTTGAAATGGGGTTGAACTTAACTGCTGAGAACGTTGTCCTCACGTTTCGGTGAGGACAAAGTGTAAAATACAAACTTTTGAAGCATCTCCTTCTACTTAATCTCTCAATGAGACAATGGAAATGCCGCAGGGTTCTTACGGTTTTATTAATTTGAAATTTACGCGAGGTTTGAGACTACTAGTCCGTTCGTATAGTCGCTGGAGTGGAATCGGCGACACGCACTGTGAAAAACAAAATTCACCTTGCTCTGTGCAAATTGTAGGCTTTTGCACCGTGCAGATGGCTTTTTTTGGGCCATGGGCCATACCTTGACTTTCCTTGCACTGTGCATGTTGCCGAAATCACGCCAGCGACTTAACGAATGGTGCAGTAAAGCACTTCATTTGGTTCCTCTTTGAGGAAGAAAATTTTTTTTTACAAAATGTAAAGCCTTTCAGATCGCTGAACATGTCGTCTTCTACATATTGCAATGCTCGATTTAAGGTTCTCAAGAAATAACAAGCGGTATTTTCAACAGCTTTTTTATTTGCTTTTAGAATCACACATCTAGACTCCCGCGAACTATGTCTGGGACTCAAAAATCTGCCGTAAATAACTCATTAACCGCTGCTTGTCTGGCCTCCTCCTCCTGTTCTCAGTACCCCTCCCAAACTACCCTCAACTTAAAGGTCATGTTTTCCTCCCATTTCCAATTATGCAGGGCATCTTCTATCGTATTTTCTCAAATTTCTCGAACCCAACGGCCACGTGATTTGGACCTCCCGTGGCTTTCGAAAGAAGCACGGAATTCGAATAAGACTCATTAGGGAAATTTGCGGGAGCATCATTTCTCCTCCTCATAATAATAAATGCGCGGAATTGAGTTAGGCCCGAGGCCAGATGGTTTTGACAACTCGTTGAGCGATTATTTACCGAAACCGTGAAGAGCGATTATTACATAGCTGATGAGTTAATCCGAGGAGGGATGGTCTACTGCTCTTGTGTGGAGTTTCAACTTTGAAAAAGTTTTAGACATTTTTTTAGGGAAGAAAGTCGAACAGCGATCTTTCGATACATTCAGACGAGAGACAGTAAGAGACGGTCCGCAAAGATATCTCGTATAATGTTGGACGGCTTGCGCAGAACAACATTTTTGCAAAGTTCTCTTTCTGTTTCACACCTTGAACATAACAACATCTGTTTCCAAGCAGATGACTAGACGGTACCGAATTTTTGCAATTTTGGATCTAAATATTTCAGCATGATGCAGGCTAAAGGCCTCGTATAGACCTGAATACATTTTACTCTGAACTTGTGTGCGTTTCCTTTATATAATTTACTTAATGCACTTTGGCATCCTTCCCGGCAATTTGACAGTGGTTCGCATGGCTTTTGTTTATCTGCCAGTGAGTTTTGTTTTTTACAATTTTTGCACGGTTTTTCCACTTCCTTTGTACTCGTCCTTTTGCCACGCCACGTCTATCAGTCAGGCTTTTCTAGAAAATACAGATTTAGCTTCAAGTACTACAACATAAACATTCAGAACAGCATCTGAATTAGTAAGGACTCGCGGTTTCGCCATGTACTGACCTTTTTTAGAATGGTAGTATAAGTGCAAGTTGTTGGTTTCTGAAGTCTAAAAGGTTACGTCGAACAGTAGGTTTTATAAAAATTGGGAAGGTTTTGATTAAGTACGGATACAATTATTTTCTAAGGCGATTTTCTCGGTGAATGCAGAACGCGGTTGGATTTTATGAGAAATTTATTTATACAGTATGTAGATTTTAGTCATCATTTTTCAAATTGATGCTTTCTGAGAAATTGGCGTATTCAAATACCCAAACTTGTTTCGGAGTATTCAAACACGCTTCCTGTTCATGTCGTACAGCAAGTATCATCTGCCTCTTACGTCTGATACGAGCATGGTCTGTTTATGTTCCAACTGCGTCACTCTTTTTATTTCATTCCGAAAACTTTGAAAAGTTTAAATTTAATGACTTTATGTCCTGGAGTGGACTTCAAATCCAAACAGCCAGCCAAAATGCGGCGGTTCATTTGGGCCATATTTAGCTTAATTTGAAAAATGTTTGGATGTCGGTCATGTTTGCCTCGCGGGCATCGAGATAAACTGAAGCGACGTTTATTGGATTGAGAAAAGGGGAAGTGTCAAATGTGGAGGTGGGGGAAGAGGAAGTTTTTGGGACCTGTCTTACATTTTATGGATATTTAAGTGTTCCTTTTTCGAAAATTAGTGGTATTTGAAATTCTTGCATCCAAAAATTTTTAAAATTTCAATTTTTTGACCGTTTAATAGTATCCCACCAGATTGAAAAAAAAACATTTTGGGTATACTTTGCGCTGTTTACAGTATAGCCACGGAAATTATGATTGTAAGCATTCTAGTTGCGAAACTCCTTCTACTTTGTATCTCGACCGGACTAATAACAACCCTAATTAAATTTGTTTTGGAATCCAAAAAGCATAGAACCAGTGACTTCGAGTGTGACTGTCGGGAATAGGCATATCTCGTATGAAGACGGTAATGGGCAATGCTGAGACCTTCAATTTTTTTTATATCCTTTCGATAAAAATTGGTATGATTGAAAAGGGTATTATACATAAAAATGCTGGACCGCGTTATGCAGAAACAACGGAGGTTTAAGATTTATAAATTCGAAAAATCTCGCTTCGAATCTTGTTTTTGACTTCTCCAAACATATCTGGTGCGCTTTTATTTTTTAACCAGTATTATGTCACTCGTAATGATGTGATTCGCATAATTTTCGGTGCTTGGCCCTTATTTCTGGCCCATTTTTTCACGCCGTATTTCCCATTTTCCGCCTTTTTGAGCCCGTTTCACTGTTTTTTTGTTGATTTCGAGCTTATGTAATAATAGGCTTTCCAATTACCGGGTTGTCGCCCGGTTCTCTCAATACTTTGAACACCTTGTTTGCTGCATTTGTTTACGTGGATTTCAATATTTGTGGCTACGACGTCTCTAACTATAAAACTTATATGGTCCGTTCATACTTTTCGATACATCTTCAGTCTCCAATACTCCATTTATTGTACATGTTTCTTTTTACCACTACTCCAACATTTACTACAGCAGTTTTCCCTTCAATCTGCGACAACTTCAAGTACATTAGCGTTTATAAAGCCGACAGTTTCTTATTTGATATTGTACTTGTAAAAATAGGCATTTCCAACCCCTTGATGGGATACAAAACACTTAATGCCCTTTGCCGCAATATAATTTAATCTCAGCCGTGAGGTTTGAGGGCTCTGCGTATGCACTTGTGGTCTTATTTTTGGGATATTTACCTGACAATAGCAAGTACTTTCAGTAAAGGTAAGGCTTTAATTTATACGAGGGAAGGAGCCAAAGTGGCACTGCTGAATTTCCTTAAAATGAGGACGGTAGGGCTTGCACAGACCGTATCTTAATCTTCCGGAAATTTACCATCGTCTTTGGGGACCTCGATGATACTCGACGATCTTTGCCGACGAGAGTGCGCGGAACGCGGAGCCGTCAAAAAAAATACTTTTTGGCTATGTGTTTACTGATTTTGCGTACCAAAGCACAGTCTCAAGAACCCATGCCCTCTCTAGAAAAAGGGGACTGAAGATTTTCGTGCCGAATATTTAAGCGTGAATTTCCGGTATCTCACAATCTTAAATAGTAAACAGAAGAATAGGAACATTAACTGTCTATTTATATACAATATTGCCCGGAATACAAATTTAATACTCCTTCCCCGTTCAATGTTTTTTAATTTTTTTGCTTTTCATGATCCTCATTATTTTTTGCCTTTTGTGATTTTATCCATTTTTATCCTTTCCTCGTTGCCCAATTTAACTCATCTATCCCACTCAAGAGCCACTGAAAACTGCTAACTCTTTCCTTACATTTCCTCCTTACTTACAGTTATTTAAAAATCCGCAGGATTAAAATAATAACTCTGACGTTTTGAAATTTTTATGTCGTCCACGTAGATATCCAGACCTGTTAAAGGCGCTAATCTCATTCGCCTTGGAGCTGTTTTTGTTTATACCGCTCCGTAAAAGTACATCCATATCTGGCCTCTAGCAAACGTTCATGTTTGGAGTCGCGGCATTTTCGATAGTTTTAAGTACACTTTTATTCTGTGTACTGTACGATTTAAGATGAAGCAAGAGGCGAACTTTTACGATTTTTTATGGAGCTATTTATATGTATTAGGACAAGTGTGAGGGTAGTGCCCTATAAGAGGGACTGCTAAGATTTCGAGAAAGGGAGGTGCATGGTTTACGACCTTGCCTCTAGCTTATATTTTTTGAAATTGATATGTGGTCTAGGTATATGGAAAATTGGAAATGATCTGAGCATCAAATCGTAACCATTCCCAAAAGTGTTTTTATGTCAGAGCAACACTTGACCCAAAAATTTCGGAATGTCTCCAAACCTCATTTTTTCTACCCGGAAGCTGTTTTCATTTACACTGTCGTCCAAATCGCAACAGCTTTCCAAATTTTCTTTTCATCATTGCCTCTAGACAGCTCTCCTCGTCCATATTCCCCAGTGATTGGCTATTGGTCTTGATAAAAATCTCATTTCTGCAAAGAATTGCCGGGCCCGGCCCGTGTTTTCCCACGGAAATCTACAATAAAACCAAGGGCATTTAATTAAAACCCTCATGTGCTTAAATTAAAGTCTCCGACTTTTGATTATTTACTTTGGCGCCGCTTTTTTCCCTCCAATGTCCGAAAAATTCCGGTTTGGTGTTTGAGAAGGGGTCTAATTTTTTGGTCGGTTTGTTTATGAATAAATAATTAGGAGATTTTTGGAGAGTATTGTAGAGATAATGAAGCGGTTTTGTAGTTAAAGTTCAAGTGGTTTTGAGACGCTTGTAGTTTAATAAACGCAAGCTAACATCACTTCGTCTGGCCAGTCTTGGGGCGTTCAAAATATTGACGTCTCTTTTCGAAGTTTCGGGCTTGTAGGTCTCAGGATCAACTGTAAGCTGAGCGTAAACGGCTAAAAAACTCTGATGCTTTAGAGGGATCTTTAAAGTAATGTTTTTTGTCTTACCGGCTCTACTAATTCTCTGCAACCTTTCTCTTTCAAAGACCGTTAATCAATCCCTTTTATGATTATTTTTTGTGTTTACTGCTCTTTTGAACTCAACTCTAAAATAACTTTCATCAATTGCGTTGTGGTTTTATCCCCTCTCTGTGACTGGCGGTTTTGGAATTAAATCCTGAAACCAAGGTAATTTTTTGTCATACGTTTACCACATTGCCTAAACCTAGTTCTAAATGCATGTTTGAATCAAGTATAGTTTGATTCTCAACTTTAATTCCGAGACCTCGCCTGTCATTTCTTACATTCCTTAATTTGTTTTGTAGAGAGAGATCTTTGGCTGAAGCAAAACGGCCGAGAGAGCGGCCGAACCATCTCCTCTCCATCTTGGGGCCTTTTAATTTGAATTTCACTCATCCCGATTAATAAGCGCTCCAAGACCATGAACGAAACGGGTGTGCTCGCTCGTCAAGTCAAGTTCTTCGATGCCCTGAGGCACAATCAAGAGATCCCGATCGGCTGTGCGGCGCAGTTGATGATGCCGCTGACAGTGGGGACTACGGATTATTATGTCCAACACTACGTATTTCCAGTTCAGTTTATCCTTGGAGTGGCTGGGAATTGCATCAATTTGATCGTTTTGTTGAGTGCTGGGATGAAAAATCAGGCAAGTTGCCGTGCTTTTCAAGGAAAACAGAGCAAAATTTCTTGCAGAGCTTGTTTTGAAAGTCTGTTTTCCTCTTCGTGCAGAGGTTTATGAACCTAATATTACCATTTTCTAAAGAGATTTTCTAGCCAAGACATCAACAAATATCAGTGATCCGTTTTTTGATAAAACTTGTCGTTTCAGGCGAACACATTGCTCTCGGCCATGGCATTTGCTGATTTGGCCTTCCTCGTTTGTCTACTGCCCTTTTCCCTGGCATCATTTCCATTATTTTATTCGAGCACGTGGTTTGCATATTTATTTCTTCGTTACAAAACGCATGCCGTCGCCTTTGCCAACATGTTCTCAGTAGCGGCGTCGTGGTAAGCGCTTCTTTCATTGGTATTTTCTCTTTGATCTTAACCAGGTCGTTTTATACAGCTTTTTCTTATATTTTTATATATTGGTTCTAATTCAGGATGGTATTGGCCGTTTCAATTGAGAGATTTACGGGTGTTCGACGACCAATGCACACACGGTTTCAGCTACGCGATCGATTACTGTTTACCTTGATTTCGATTGTTTTTCTTTTCGCATTTGCCTTGACCTTCTCTCATCATATTGAATATGACGTGTCGATTATCTCAACCAAATGTAACACTATCAAGGCTGTTTATCGGCATTCAACGCAGGTAAGTTGTGAAAAAACTGTTTGTTCCCACGAATTTTTGTTGCTTTTTTTTACATACGGTTTCGCTAACTTTTTTATCCGTATGTAATAGCCCAAAAAATGGTATAAAATTTCACTGGCATTACATTTCAGAGATCCGGCACCTCCAAGTTTTACATCGCCTACATTGGATATGCCAAAATCTTTCAGACTCTGTTGGGTGTCGCGCTCCCCGTTATCGCTGTTGCCATTCTCAACGTATCTCTTATATATTTCCTACGTAAACGGGAGATATTACCTCGTCTTGTCACCGATAAACAGGTGGAATCCAGATTTGTGTAAGCCGAAAGCTTTTTTCAATCGCTCTTCTTTTAGCAGGTACAGTGATGCTGGGACGGTGCAGCGGCAAGAACGGAGGGTCACGGCGACAGTTCTGGCGATTGTTACTTGCTTCACTGTTACACATGTAAGCCGTGATTCACAAAAAATATGGCTAAATTTTATACAAAAATATTTTTTTGTCGTCGAAAGTAGTATAACATAAGCGATCTTTGTATCTTACCTCCAAGTGCAAAATATGTATGTTTCCAGCTTCCAACACTAGGTCCATTTCTTTGGGAGCACCTGAACCAGAATGGAGTTACCATGGATAACAATGTTATTACTTTGCTGAACACACTTCTTGTCTCTGGAAAGGTCCTGAATTTTGTCCTTTTCTGTCTGAGCTCAACACATTTCCGACAGCGGACAATGGTCATACTCAGCTCACATTTGGTAAACTTTTTTATTGTATTTTACAAATTTATTCCTGCTTTTCTAATTTTGGTTCTATTCGTGTCTTAATTATGGGCAAGAATCAAAGAAACGCTTTTCCTTACCTTCACTTTCCCCATCCATCAAAACAACCTTAAAAATTGAAATTTAGTGCCAAGAGTCGGGGCGGAAGAAGTACAGTAGTATGACCACGAACACTTCCATGCCGAAGATCAGCAATGCCGGTTCCCAGCACCACTCCATCCATCTTCACGACTCCATGGACCAATCGATCTGCGGATCACCGGCACGCACTGGTCGGCGGGTCCAACTCCAGATCGGGGATGTAAATACAACTTCGTTTAATGAGAACACAAGGAAAGCGGGTCTCTCCAACGATTTCACGCGCAGCAAGAGAGCATCCACCTCGTCCAAATAGCCGACGGTTTTTTTGTCGAGTTTATCCGGATTTATTTATTGTTTTTACATAAAATACGAGTCATAAGACACAGTTGGGTTCGGGTTATGGTAGATGCAAAACACAAAAAAAAGAAACTTTTTTCGAAAAATTTGATGATTTTGATGTAGAAATAAGGATCCAGATTGTACGCAGTGCTGCTAAAATGGTACAGGATCAAGACTCACAAAGATTTTCGGGACGCACTTTACAGAATCTACGAGATTTTTAGGTCGAAAGGTGACAAACAAAAAAATTTCATTTTTTTGATAAGGAAAGTGATTATTCTATTATATTTCATGTTTTTAGCATAAAACCTGTTTCCTATGAACAGTAATTCAAACTGGTATCGCCCAAGAACCCTTTTATATCTTATCTTTATTCCTAATTTCCGATAGTCTCTCGGTTCCAAAGATCTGTCTAATGCTTTTGGCTCTGTGCCGACCCGAAGCAAAGACTTTAGGAATTGGTATCTGCATTTGATGGATTACGTACTCGGAATTTAGAGCAGATCTAAACGTCGCAACCCGAGCACTCAATCTGGTCGAAACATGATGACAAAACGGTAAATCCCTTACGACCCCAGCTGAATTTTGGTGCTGTTACCTTTTTATTCTCAGTCCACAAGGTAAATCGGAATTTATTCTTACAACAAAGCCAAGACACATCGTACAAAAAACGCGCGGACTACAGGTGCTTAAGGCTTGGTGAAGCCGTTCTTGTCGAATCGGATGGGGGTCCACAAATCGGAGAGGATCTGTTTCCAGTCAGAGGCCGAGACGACGCCCTTGATGTTGAGCATGGTTCCTCGGACCACCTTCTTTACAATCCATCCGCCAATCTTCTTGTCGAAGGCGGCGACAGTCTTGGGCTTGTTCTTGAGGAGTCTGTTGACATAGTAGGGTTTGCAGGTCTTCTTGATCTGAGTGATGGCCTTGTTCAAGACAGTTTTCCAGTTGGAGAGGCCGGTGTACAACTTCATTGCTGGGCCGTAGAATGCGGTTTCACCGAGGAGTTTACTGCTGCAGGAATCGTAGAGGTCTGCAAATTTGATTTATTAAAATTGTTAACAAAACTCTATAAAGAGCCATCAGAAATTGCTTGAAACCGAAGAAACTGCATTTTTCTAACTACTGGAACAGATGAAGCGAGCTTGATTTTAACGAAAACCATGTTAAAAGCCCTTGCATTCCCTCCAATAATTATTGTAAACTTACCAGAAGCCACTTTGTTGTAAGCGACGCCCTTCTGTGTGTCATTGTAAATACTGGTGAAGCCCAGCTCGATCAAATCGTCGTCAACTTTGTCCGAAATCCACTTCGCAAAGGCGGCCTTGGTCTTGGGACAAGAGACAGTAGCCGAAGCGTAGGCGACCAACGCCAGAAGGACTGCGACTCTAACCATAGACATGGTGGTTGATGTGATGCGGCTGTTTGCCAGAGGTGGGGTTTTATACTCCGCCTGCGGTGGAGGATTTGAGGCGATGGGATAATTGAGATTTCCCGTTACATAAAGTTTTAATGAAGTTCGAGGAAGGAGCCGGATTATCCGCCGTTCCCCATGTAGCCGCTGAGTTGACGGTTCAAGCCTGATCTCTAGTTTTGATTCTGTTTATTTATACAAATCGAACAGACTGCGCGGGGGAAAGCGGACAAATTGTGCCCAAAAGTTCACAATCGGAAACGGAGTTCTGCGAAATGTAGCTAGGAGTTTATCAGAAGCGGGCGATGGCAATCATGGAGAACGTATGATGGGGTGTTTGGTTTCAAAGTCCTACAGGGCTGATTGGCGATTCTTTGACAGGGCTGAGGAGACCTCCATCTCATGTATTACTTTCAAAAAGATATGTACCAATAACATCAATGCTTCATGCAATTTTTCCATTTCAAAGCCCGTTTTTATTGGCGGAAACGGTAGCCAAAGATTTTATTGCGACTATAATTTAAAACAATTCGCTTCGATCTGCCTTGCATATGACCTGTTATACTTTAAATTTCTTCCTTATTTTTAAATTCTTTCCTTTTTTTTTAATTTTCGACAAGTTACACTTTATTTACAGCGACCTAGTCACATACAAAGTACCTGTTATATCCGGTTACCAGTTATTCTTAAATGATATTCCATCAGTTGCGTTGGAGTAAGTTCGCAGTAAGTTAGACCGTCCTCAATGTTTTTGTCTTCTGCCTGCAATTTGAGTCATACCGAAGTCACCATTTTCTTGATTTTAAGGAAGTATGTTATAATAATTGTACAAGTCTTACCAAATTAACGCAAAATTTATCCGAATGCACTCTCTCGATACCCGCTACCTCGCTGACGATCCCGTTGAAATAAACATCTTCAGCCCTGAACACACTGATCTTCTTTGCATTCTCCAACAACGACTTGACCGCTTCTCTCGTGTAGATGTACATGGCTCCACGAGAAAAAACGGGGACAATGTCTTCTCGGATGTCTCGGGAAAGAATGTAGCTGAAAATGAATGCGTTGGATCTTTTCCTAGCGATCGCTTTATGAAATAATATTTGCCGTCAAGAGAGTACGTAAAATGCGTACACAGAGAGAAAAACGGTCTGCGGCATAACCTTTTTCCTTTCAACTAACTTTTTATTTGGCCATCTCAGCACTGGGGTTCCAATTCTCGTCTCTCCGAACAATAATTTCTTCTCTGCAGGTATTCTTTGTTCAATTGTTTTCAAAATGGCCGGAATATTTGGATAAACATCAACATCAATCTTGACGAAATGCGTAAAATCATCGCAGAATTTCAGAGTCCAATCAAAGGCGATATAAGATTTGATGACTAATCGGTGATATGAATCGGAGAGATTGTAACGAATGATATCATGATAAACAGCTTGCTCTTTGAATAAAATCTCTTCCAGATTCGAGTCGGTTACAGCGCCAATTAAAAATTGATAAGCAACATACGACGGCAGGTCCTAAAAACACGATGGACAAAATTCATTTTAGAGATTTCAAAATACGAATCGCTCCAAACACGCGTGATTGTGTCCTAAACCACAAAAAATGCCATGAATCTCACTTTTATCCAACTTTTTCTTGCGTAATCCCGATATTCTTGATCCGCTGGCGCTGAGATTACACTAATCACAATCCGTTTCCTTTCACATGACTTTGAGGCATCTGTCATACTGTAATATTTTATGACATTTTTAAAAATCGCAGCTGAATTGACATCAATCCCCCATGGTCGTATCAATCGGATCGGCTCAGCCTCAAAATCGTCCGGAACAAATTCTCGACGGACTAAAATTATATCGACTATAGCAGGCAAAAACGATTGCAAAGGGTGAATTTTGTGTTTGCCGCTTACCATAGACAATAAAGAGGATAATAGCTGTGCAAATTAAAGCTGATTTCACAATCGGCTTTACGAGCGCTCGATATCTTGGAACCAACAGTGGATTTCTGGCGTTACATCCAGAACTAAGCCTCCAGCGTCGATCATTGTCAGTTCTCCATCCTCTAAAAACATTCAATGACAACCGACTACAAAATTTAGTATTCAAAATGGTGTCGATTCCCTTATAAGCTATGAAAATTAGAGTTCTTTCTTTGTCTCCAATTTTTAGTCTCATAAGCTAACCCTGGCCAAATTTTTCTTATACACACATAATTTTAATAATGAGCTTTCACAGAGATCAGCAGCCGCCGTCGAAATCAACGAATCTCTTTTTACCAAAAAATTTTTTTGTTACGGTAACCCCGAGTTGAAACACTGTTTATAGCTTGAAAACCGACCTCATTTACAAAAATATTGATTAACAGAGCTCTGGCAGGGCTGGGGACCGGGTATTGATAAGGCAGTTTCCTCATTCCCTCCATGCAAACAATGGCTAGCCGCTTTTTATGGTATCAAGGACCTTCTCAATGTTTGCTATTCAACTCTAGGATGAATCATGCTTGGAAATTTTTTACTGCAGCATTCGAAGCCGCTATATAATCGTCTTTATACAATAGCTCCCCACAGCAAAATTACATATGCAATATTTGGTTATATTACACTTGATTTCAAACGGAGGCACGTTGCAAAAGGGTGTTATTTTTTACCGAAATGAGCTCAAATTAGCCAAACACGACTATCAGGATACCATAATTTCCAGTTCTCATCGCTAAATCTCAAATTTCCATATCGCGTACACCCTGCATCGGAGTCTTAACACGAAACCAATGGATGCCGCTTTTCTGGCATTCTGTCATTTCGAGCTCCAACAAAAGCATTTTTTGTGGTTCTCGAAAATTTCCAACGGAACTCTCGAAACGTCTTGGTGTTGTCCGTCCGTGGTTGCTTCTGTCTTTTCTGATTTGCGCGCAGGTTAAGGTTATTCGAGTAGTTCCAGTTTACTCTCACCTAAAAAATGTTAAATCCAGTCTTTTTCAGGTCGCTTGGGGGTTGACCAGCCGTGGTATGCGATGATTCTTCGATTCGGACTGGCCTTTGCGTGCGTTGTGGCCACTGTCAATGGGGCAAAGGATTCAGATGTCTGCGGATATTGTAAATTCATGGTGGAAACCTTCAAAGCCGTGAGTTGTTCTTCTTCATTGTTATTTCTTGATCTTTAGGGTTTGAAAAAGACCGAGAACCAGCACTTCGCCGGTGGAAATACGGATTGGGAAGAGAGGAAATTGGGAAAGTTTAAAACAAGGTAAGTGGTTGTGGAGAACATGATACTTAATGTTTAGTGAGACTCGCTTCATCGAGATCATGGAGTACGTGTGCCATAAAGATCACCTGGAAAATGCAGAAGAGTTCAGTGATCTCAAAGACCTCAGATTTAAGGTGATTTCATCTTATTTTATAAATTTCTTTTAGTGCAATCATTTGGCTGAAGATACTGAAGAAATTTTGGAAAAATGGTTCTTCAAAGGCCAAGACAGTGAGATCTTTAAGTACGTATGTATAGATGAGGCTAAAAAATGCTGCCCAGAAGGTCATTATGGGGCTAATTGTTCTCCTTGTCCCGGCGCTTTGAAAGGGCTGACGTGTTTTAAAAAAGGGAAGTGTGACGTAAGTTAATATTCATATTTAGTAGTTTAAATACTAGAGAAACGTTTGTGATGTCTTATCAGTAATTTTTCATCTTGTTTCAGGGCGAGGGCACTCGTTTGGGCACGGGTAAATGCGAGTGCAAATCCGGATATGCGGGTGTAAGATGTAGTACGTGTGCTGCCCATTTTTACGAGGTTTCAAAGACTGATGATTCGATTGAATGTGCAGGTAAGAGACACTAAGCGTTTTGAGAATGTCCTAAGACATTTTTTGTTCACTACCATGCAATTTATCCCCGTATTTTAGCCTGTTTCGACGGCTGCGCCTCTAGCTGTAAGGGCCCAACTTCATTGGACTGCACTGCCTGTAGAACTGGCTATAGGATGGTAGAAAAAGAAGGATGTAAAGACGTTGATGAGTGCGAAACAGACGGGGAGAAATTATGTGATAAAGAGAACGAAATTTGTGTGAACACCCCCGGAAGTTACAACTGTGAATGTAAGAACGGCTACAAGCGAGATTACGATACGGATGAATGCGTTCTAGATGTAAATGGTAGGAAGTTATTGTTGTTTTAGAGTTTGTTAACATTCAGTTAGATGGTTTGGTTAAAGTTTTGGTTTTTACTAATACTGTTTTGTCTCGTTGTGTTGTAATCCCTGTCTTTTGACTGGAAATTGGATTGTAAACATAGCTACTGTCTGAATGGCGTGTAGTGTAGATGTTAATGTCATCTTTCTGCATCCAATTTTACAGCTCAACCTTACGATGGATTTTGGCGACCAGATCGAACTCTCCGTTATATTGCCATCGCCGGACTAACCTCCGTAGCTGCCTTTATTCTCGCTTTCCATCGAACTCCAATCGCGATTATTTTTCTAATTGCATCATTCATCGCAACCATCGTTATCGAAAAGACCTTGGATCACACTTCAATCCCGGATGAGGCAAAAAAACTGATGGGAAAGTTCATGTGAAAGGGTATAATATAATTTTAATTGGACTACTAGATGCAGATGAGTGTATTTTGCCTTGTTTCATCCCCGTCTTTCTTTGGTTTCACCTCTATTTAACTTTGTTTTGGTTGACTCTAGTGCAATATTTTAATTCAAGTCCCTTGACTACCTCAATATCGTTTCAGATCCCGACCTGAAGGATGAGTTGTAAACGGAGTAACTACGTGTCTGTGATCCAAAGTCTCAATTTTTAATTAGTAATGATTAATTTATATTATCCAGCATTGTTAAGGTATCTCGTAATAAACTATTTATATTGGCCAGCATTATGTTTGCAAGTAAACAAGAACTCTGACTTCCTAAATATATTACGATATACGAGACCAGAAACGAACAAGTTTATTCGAGTTTTGACCCGTTTTAATCAGTTACATAACGTGAGATCGAAAAGGTGAAAGAACTAGGGACTACAGTAGCTGTTACAAGTAAACAAAGAATTATATTCGTGATCTTATCGGGTGTGATCAGGGTGAGTGACGACGAAAACTGGAGGAGGTGGCGACTCCGGTGCTGGGCCAGGAGGACCAGGCAAAGATTTGTTCAGTTTGAAGCCTGGGTACATGGTTTGGCAGAGAAAGTTGATTCGACGATACCCATACTCCAACAGACGGTCCAGAGCATCTTCTCCATTCTGCAGAGTGCTCATCTCCTTCACAACCGGAGATTCAGAGGAAGGCAGAACCACCTAAAAGGATCTAGTGTAAAATACCGAAACGCCAAAATTTGCGATAATGCGGTTAAAAAAATTTCGCCAGCTAAATCCTTCCATGACTTTGCCCATGCGAAAAGTAGGCAAAACTCAGGTCCATTTTCGATAATTTTGTCCCTTCAACACCTGAAGATCAACAACAACAATTAAAAGGCACTTACATCGACTGTTCTTCCGTCTGGATAAACAACTTGTGTTTTCTGAGGCACCTTAGGAGCTGGCTTGCTCTCGGGATCCAACAAGCATCGATTTACGGAGTACCGCGAGTTTCTGCTGTATCTTCTTCCAGCAACGAAAGGCCCAGTGGATTGATGGAACAAACTTTTGTTTCCACCATGGGAATGGCTCTGATTGTGTGGATAAGCTCCATATTGTATTGGATGAGGCTGTACATAGTGAGCTTGTGGAGGAGGAAAATTGTAAATCAAAGGAGCATGTCTGTCGTCAACTGGATAATGAGTGGTCTGATTTGAGTAAAAGAAGGTCGTCCTGGTCGGAGTGTGGACTGCAGATGGTGAAATTTCATTTGGTGAGCCGGAGGAAGTAGTGGTAGAGCCGCCAACGACCAGTTCCGCCATGGTTTAGTCTGAAAAATCATCGAAATTCACGTTGCACTGATGAACGTTGGTATATAAAACTCGCTATTGTCAGAAACATTCATCCTGCACGGAAAAGGGCACTGGTAAAATTACAAATCCCAAAAAATCAGGAACCATGCCAAAAGTTGTGCAACAAAGAAACCTTGTTTGGGCTGCCGAAAAATTGCGGGTCAATATTGGCATTTCGCCAAAATTCGTGACATTTCGCAACAAGAGAAAAATAATTTTCTGCACAGTTTTTTCTGTGAGAGGTCCCGACCTTGCTCAACTTTGATGCGGACCTAAAGCTACCTCATTCATCCCCTATATCCTTCGTTAGCCCCTCTTCAATGGTAGATTGTCAAATTAGTTATAACGTAAGTGTAATTTAGTCAAACTTTATGAGTTTAGTCAATCATGAATGGAACACCAAAGAAAAATGGGACTGATCGACGAACCACCCTGTCCGCTGAAAACGTTGGCTCCGTCCGAGCGGTGAAGGCTTTCTTTGACCATACGGCCAAGATCAATCATATGAATATGACGGATGACGGGAAAATGCTCGTCGCATCTTCAGAAGCCGACTCAATAGTCTTATACGACTGTGTACAGGGCTGCAGTTCCAATACAGTCTATAGTAAGAAGTATGGATGCAGTTTGGTTCATTTTGTCCGAGGTACCAATAATGTGATTCATTCATCGGTCAAGGTAGATAGTAAGTGTTTGTTTTTCAACTTATTGAAAATTTAGATACTATTCGGTATTTGTCGCTCAACACCAACCAGTATGTCAGATATTTCCAAGGTCATGAGAAGCTAGTGACAACAATAAAGATCTCCCCAACAGAAGAAGTTTTTCTCTCTGGGGCTCAGGATAACACCATGAGAGTGTGGGATATGCGCGTTCAATGTGCTCAAGGCATGATGAAGACTGAAGCATGTCCAGTAACAGCATTTGATCCGAGTGGACGAGTATTTGTCGTGGGCACTAATAGTAGTCGATTGGACTTCTACGATCTCCGAACGTTTGATGTCCGACCATTTGCAAGTTTTGAATACGAGCCGATAAATGGCAATTGGACGGATGTAACGTTTTCCCCTGATGGTCTGAGCCTTTTGGTTATGACAAATGGGACGGAACTCATGCTATTGGACACTTTCTCCGGAAAAGTGCAACATAAATTGAGTGGACACCATAATTATAATGTAAGTCATAGGAGTATCCAGATTTGAGTGGGATAAGTTGAGGAAATGATGGTTGAGGCATCTTAATTGTGTGTTTGATGTTTTTCCATGATTTTTGGGGTTCGACAATGATGAAGAAGCGATCTTGATGGCTGTTGAAGTCCAAGATATAAGTATTTAAAGTGCTTATTATTGAACTTCCATACGTGTGATTTACCAAGAACGGATATCTGAGTCTTATCCCAAAATCTGTCTAAATTTTCAAATTTTATTCAATAAATTATACTAGTAAAATTCAAATCCGTCTTGATAATACCGAAAGTTTTAGAGCGAACCCTTAACAGCAACGTTCTCACCATGCTCAAACTTTGTGTTTTGCGGTGGAGACGGAGGATACCTGACAGGTTGGCAAAGAGAAACAGGCCAACCAGTTTACCAAAAAGGATCTTCCGACCACACGGACACGATAAATCATGTTGTTTTTAATCCGACGTACCTCCAGATTGCTACAGCATCCTCTCAAATCGTAAGTCGCTTCCGTTTTTCTGAGTGGAATATAAAGTTTACCTTGTAAAATACAGTGTTGACCTAATCCCCCATAATTTCAGAGGTTATGGACCCCAGTGCGCTAAAACCATTCTGTAAATAGTCTTCATTGCATGTAAAATACTTTATTTCTCCAAGGCGTTTTTAGCTTGTTGTTACAAATATTGTTGATAATTCTGATTAATTTATATGCTAATAAACCTTGTTAACACATCGCCTGACGCATGTTGTCTTTAAGGTCGCTTTAAAAGAGACGTGGAATACTGCCTACTGCCTGTTTGAATATTCCATTTGCCAGGCCTGTAATTAAACTCGGGGGTTCATGAAAAGAGAGGCTAAAATTTTCTCTTATCCCGTTCGCGTTTTATTACCTGGCCGTCGAGAAAGGTTACAATTATTCACTTTGTGTTTTGACTCTTAGTTTTGTCGCTTTTTTCGGCGGCTGTTTATCAAAATGGCAACAATTTTCTTGGGAAGTCTGACTGCTGCAGCGATTTACAAACTCGTCCAGAAGTGGTTTCCAGCTTTCAAAGAGCGAGACAATGTAAGTAAACTGTTTTTCGGTATTTTGTTAGGCGTTTTACACATTTTTTAATGTCTTACCTTGTGTAAGGTTATTTTAGGCCACTTTTTAATTTTTAGGTAACATAGGTCTAAGATAATGTAAAAGTAACCACAATTGAATATTACTTCTAACCTGCCTACCCATAGTTTATGTTGTATTTCAGGCCATAAAGTACAAGGACGCCCTCGCTTTGGCCATAGTTACAGTCGATCCAACAGTTGAACCGTTTATCCCTTCAGAATCCGAAAACCAAGCGCTAACCGAACTTTACGACCACGTTTTTCGTCTCAAACAGCCAAGAGTTTGGTCCACTCAGAAGAAGAAGCACATTCTTTTTGTCAGTGAAGAATGCCCCGAGAAAATTATCTTGTTTATCAGGAGATGTGCTCAAGTTACCCCGTTATTGCGATTGAGGGCTGCAGAATCAGAAGATCCCAATGAAAGATTAAAGTATTTGGCAGCAGGCTTCACTACGGCAAAGGAACACGGAGAATGCGTCATTTTGGTTGAGGATTGCGGTAAGAAAGACGGATTCATATTACTTTAGTCATCTTCAGATGCCTATTTTTCTTCTGATGCTCCTGTGATCTACAATCGTCGAGTTCTCAGGCAATTCCTCAATATTATGGACTCATTGGTCAAAGACCGCCGACGGATCACAATCATAGCCATGACGAATGGGAAAGGCACTCTTCAGAGCTGGTTCTTACAACGGGTACAACTTGAAGTAAAGTATGAAAAGTTGAACAAACCGTCGCCCAACGGAAATTCCACAAGTTCTGCATGATTTAACTTCCAAATTCAAAATCTCGCGTATGATCTCAATTTTAACTATTTTGTAAATACTTTTTCCTCCAACATCCCATGTATAATATAATTTTATTGCGCACAGTGCAAAGTTAACAATAAATCTTACGAAAACCAGATCTTGGGAAGAAAAAAGGGTTAAAATGTATTAACAATCGGAAAGGCAAGGATTTAGAAGAGGGAATCACCAACCATTAAAAACTTAAAATAATATAAAAAATCTACTTCGTCTTATCGAAGCCTAGTAAACTCTGGATAGAAGAGACAGTAATTAAAATAAGCAGACTTTTTAAGCAATAATTACAGCCTCTGCTATCTATCCAGAGTCTACTGGGAAGTGTTATTGGATATACGAAACATCTAGGACCTAGAACAACATAGATCTTGTGAGCAAATCTTAGAAATTTAAAGGTTCAGAGCTCTGAAAAGACTCAGAGTCAGCTCAACTCCAAAGAAACATGCTGCATTCGCGGGGAATGCCCTCAACATAACTGGGGTGAACCCTCGGAACAGTCCGGCTGGTCCTTCAGTCTTGATCACTTCCTTGAAAACATCTCGAATCCCGTTGTATTTGCCTTCTGGTGCAGTTTGAAGTCGGGATTTGAGGACGTCAGCCGGAATGCACACAGACCAATTGGCTATTCCAGCAAAGCCTCCAGCCAGGAGAGTAGCCGTGGGGGTGAGCTTATCTTTATTTCCCTCTCCCGCAAAGAGTCGCTTCAGGTATTCGTACACGGAAAGATAAGCGGCAGAGGCGGGAACATCTGGAATACAATTCTGTTAAGGAAGTTTCCGATAATTTATTGGGAGTTTTCCTACATTATGCTATGTCAGACGGTCGAACAGGATGAAAAGGAAATGCGAAAAACATACGCCGACCTTTTCTGTCAAAAAGTGTGTACTTATACCGAGTCGAAGGACAATTTCGTATTGATAAAACAAATTAAAGATCATAATTTTACCTCTCATCAAAGTAGCGGCCGTTCCTCTGTAGATGCTTCTAATTCCACCCTCTTTATAAAGCTGCTTGGCCACGTCCAAAGGCCCACTGTATTTCTGAGGTCCTCCACTGGACTGAACTTGCAGGAGACACTTGATTCGTTCTCCGGGAACCATCACAACAGTTGTGAGAACACCGGCAAAGGCACCCGCATTAGCGTTCTGGATAAAAGTGTAATCGTCCTGTCCAGCTTTCTTTGGCTGTAGCCATCTACCGATAGCGCATCCTCCAAAGAACAGGGCGAATAAGGGAGATACACCAACCAGCGGAGCTGCCATACCTTTGTAGAGACCCTACAAAGCAAACGATAAATAAGGCGAAACATAATGCGAACATTTGACATTTTTGAACTGTTCGGCTCAGATATCCGTTCTAAGAAAATCATATAGGCTTTGTACTGCAGCATACTGCAAATTACAGCAAGAATTTCGGAACTTAACAGCTTCAAAAAACTTGGCCCAATCAAAATCGCTTCTTTCCTCATCGCCAAAAAAACTAAAAGCCACAAAACCAAAAATATTTAAACTTACTGTGATGCCGTCTTTGGCAATTGTGGTCTTGAAACAATCGAGCGTGCCACCATAAAGCGGCTTCTCTCCTGTTTTTGGAGTTGGCATCGTTTGAAGACGAACTTTGACTGTGTCAAATGGATGTCCGACCATCACCGTAAAGGACCCGCCAACTCCGCCGGCCAAAAAACTCTTCACAAAATCCGTGGACATGGTTCTTTCTGGCTCACACTGGATGGTCGGTATCTAGTTCGCCTGCAATTCAGAAACCTTATGTTACACTTGTACTATAAAATAAATAGCCACAGAACGCGTAAACTCGCTTAAAAAGCATTCAAATCAACGAAGACTCAATGCTAAACGCCGACTCGACGATCCGAACACAAAATTTGTTGTCTGATCGGAGAAGAGAGGGCACAAAGTCCACGCCTAAAATAAAAAAGTCGCAACCTTTTATTTGGGGCAGATTTCATTTGGGACTAATATTTATAGCCAACACTGCAAAATTGTTTGACTAGCTAGACAAAGTTGGTTTTTATGATAGCCAAAAAAGATGTTTTTTTTTGGCTAGCCAAACTCTCGGAATGGCTGTGAAGCCTTGAAAAAAACTAAAAAGCTTGATTGGTATCAAGGAGGAGTGACGGCCGAAGGCTGGCCAACAATTTTTTTGGCTGTCATGCCAACTTTGGCTAGCTAGTCAAACGCTTTTGCAACATTGGCTATAAACATTGGCTCGATAATCTGTCCAAAATGAAGGGTAGCGAAAAAAAGTGATCAAGTTGGGAAAGCTGAAAGACGGTAAAAATGGAGGTGCTAGAGGGTAATGACATCACAAAATGTAACAAGAAACGGAAATTAATTTATGAAACGCCAAATTTGAGTTTTGTTTGTTCCCGAGATTTTTCGGAGAATTTTTTTTTTCTAAACATTATGCCAAAATGTTGTTTTCGACTCGGAACCTTTTATAGACGGCGCAAAGGTGTAAATATAAATTGAATAGGACCTAAATAGTTTCTTTTTTAGTTTAGATCACCGTATTCAACACAAAACGTGATACTCCTCACCAAAAACCTCAAAAAATTTCCCATAGTTTGATAAATCTTCCAATTCCATAAAAATTTGCATAAAATAATGGGCATATTCATCGACCAACCACAATGTAGTCAAAACTCTCCATTTGTCGGTGTACGACAGCTTGGAGACGGTCCTTCTTCTTCGTCTGTTCGGTCCAGTTTAGCCATGACTTCAGCGTATATTGGAGTTCCCGCATCTTGTGGGGGAATACAGTCCGCCTACATGGGTGTGGGCGCTGGTGGAAACAAGCCCGTTGGAGGTGCCGGAGTGCCCACTCCAGCCAACCAGTCCGTTTACATTGGAGCAGGCGCTCAAGCTGGCTTGGGTGCTACTTCCACTTATATTGTAGCTGGTGGAGGCGGTGCGGCCGGAAAGTCCGGCTATTTCTCCGTGGGAGGAGCTCAGCCCGGAGCTCCGGCTCCCATTCCAGGCAAGTTATGATCAAAAGTTAGAAAGAAAATACCTTCCTTGGTGGTATTTTATTATTGATTTTACATTCTTGGTCACTAAAACAATATATAAAAAACGCATATGTGTACAATTCAAAATTTGTGAATTCGTAGTAAATTCTGTCTAATTTCAGTTGGTGGAACCTCGACAATGACTGCCGTTGGTGGAGCCCCAGGAGGAATGTCTACGATGACTGCTGTTGGAGGAGTTCCCGCGGGAGCTTCGACGATGACTGCTTTGGGTGGCGCCCCGGCCGGAACCTCGACCATGACTGCTGTTGGACGTGCTCCCGGCTCCACGATGACTGCCCTTGGCGGCGTTCCAGCCGGTGAGTCAAGTATTAGTAGCTTATATTCGAGATTTCAACTATCGAAGTTAAACATTTATATTCTTATGATCTACAAATTTGGTCTTATTTTTAGGAGCCTCCACGATGACTGCTGTTGGTGGTGCCCCAGCCGGTACCTCGACCATGACCGCTGTTGGAGGGGTTGCCCCAGGAGCTTCAACAATGACTGCCGTTGGTGGAGCACCAGGAGGAATGTCTACGATGACCGCTGTTGGTGGAGTTGCCCCAGGAGCTTCGACGATGACTGCTGTGGGCGGGGCCCCAGGCGGAACCTCCACTATGACTGCTGTTGGACGTGCTCCCGGTTCCACGATGACTGCTGTTGGCGGTGCCCCAGCAGGTGAGTGAAACTTTAATGGTATTAGCTGATGTGCGAAGTTGTATAACTATCGAAATGGAAAAACTTTCTGTTTCTGGCCCAAACGTTTCGCAGCGGGCTTTTGAAGAAAAAGTAAAAAATAGCCTAAGGTCCGATCTAAGCTTGACCCCTGTAAGCCCCTGCCTAATCCTAATAAATATTTATCGTAACCGAGATTGTTCGGGCACAAGCTGAAAAATCTTTTCGCTTGGACCAGAAAAAAGAAGTTTTACTATCGAAATTAAAAAAGCGACGTCTTTATGATCTAAAAATGCGGTCTTAGGAACCTCCACGATGACTGCCGTTGGTGGAGCCCCAGGAGGAATGTCTACGATGACCGCTGTTGGAGGTGTTGCCCCAGGAGCTTCGACAATGACTGCCGTTGGTGGGGCCCCAGGAGGAATGTCTACAATGACTGCTGTTGGCCGTGCTCCCGGTTCCACGATGACTGCCGTTGGTGGAGCCCCAGGAGGAATGTCTACGATGACTGCTGTTGGCGGTGCCCCGGCCGGAGCCTCCACTATGACTGCTGTTGGCGGAGTACCAGTTGGATTGTCGACCGTCACCGGTGTTGCAGGAGGCCCGGCAGGCACTTCAACGATGACCGCGGTGGGTCAGCCAGCCGGTATGTCGACTATGACTGCCGTGGGAGGAGTTCCAGGTGAGAAATGAGCTGTTATGTATAGCTGGTTGGCTTATTTATCAATCAATTTATGGCTGTTAGATACACTTTGATTTAAATACTACATATTTATAATCGTTTTTTAGGAAAATCCACCATGACTGCTCTTGGCCAACCCGCCGGCACTTCCACGATGACTGCTGTTGGACAGCCTGCTGGTAAGAGTGTTTGTAAAGGTTCTAGATTAAATTGTAAACGATAGACCAGCTAAATTTAGACGTTTGACTAATTTTTCAAGCTGAAGATATTATTTTGAATGGTGACTAATATTAAAAAAATATTTTTAGGCAGGTCCACCATGACCGCTGCCCTAGCCGCCTCGACCATGACTGCTGCTCCCAAGTAGAACTGACACAGTATTTCGATCGTTTACATCGAAATAAACGCAATACTAGACTTTGATTACATATATTGCACTTGCTGTTATTATGTAAAATTGTCAGTGAAAATTTCTGTAATATGGCTTTTAAAAAAGGGTAGTTTGCCTGTAAAAGGTCATAAATCAACTAACTAATCGTAAGATACACCGAACTTGATGGCTAGATTTGTCAACGAGAAATTTCGGCAAAAAGTTATGTTATACACAAGCCTCATGTAAATTCTGATGATAAAACCATGCGCTTTTTGTAAAAAATGATTCAAATGAAAAACAACGCCCTCACGGTAGAATAAAGTCTCTGTTTTTGAGCTGCAAATGCATCCCTACACTTGGTTTCTATTACTGCGGACAATTGAATTCAACAGCCGTAAAATTCAATTTTCACGGGAAATTACAGTACCTTTTTGACCTTTCAATTTTTGAAATGAGAGATTTTTATTGAGCCTCAAAGCTGCGCATTTGGTTGTTGCTGAGCGGTCGATGGGATGGGTCGTTTCCCGAATCGTACTGTATTTCTGAACGTTCTCTTTGCCGTGATGGGCACCACGTTGAGGTTCGGCTTCAACATTACGCTCATCAATCCGATGGGGATGATTCTCAACGAAATCTTGACCAAAACCGCGAGGACACACTACCATTGGGATCTGGAGGATCCGGATCAGGCCAAATGGAGACCCTACGTTTTTGGAGCGACCGGAGGGTAGGATAAGATGTTTTGATGACTAAAAATTTAACTTTTGGGCAAAAGATTATTAATAATAAGCATTTCCATGCTGAACTCAAACTTCAGGGGCGGGCTGTTGGGTCTAATTTTACTCGGCCAGTGCATTTGTTATTACGCTTTTGATTGTGTAGTGATCCTGTGTTTTTAGTGCACTAGCTTTGGGATCGATTATTGGAAGTTTGACTTATGGATATTGGGTGAATCGAGTTGGTCGAAGGCAAATGTTATTACTGGTACAGATCATGTTCATGGTATTGTAAGTCCACAATGGAGGCGGCTAAAAATTTTATATCAATTTTTGCTAAATCATCAAATGTCTCAAAAATTTTTATCTCAAAATTATATAGTTCAGTGTTCTAATGTAAGCCAGTTTTCCCAAACTCCAATGATACCTTTTCAGCTCAGTAATGGCCATCCTCACCCACTATGACGCCTTTGAATTGTTCTTCTTCTCTCAACTTTTCAGTGGCGTCTTCCTAGCTTATGGCATCGCCACAACTACTACTTTTATTGCGGTAACTTCCTATAGACTGATCACATATTCATCCTGTTTAGGAAGTTTCTGACCCATCTCACGCCAGCTTTCTGAATTCTTTAGTGGTGGTTTCGATTGAAGTTGGAACCGCCACTTGTAATCTCCTTGGAATTAATGTCATCTTCGGCAATGAAGATCTCTGGCCCCTTTTGATTTTCGCCCCATTTGCACTGAATTTTGTTTGGTGAGAGATCGGGGAAGCGTTGTTAAAATAATTTAATAAAATTTTAGTTTCTTCGGAGTTCTCTTATATGGAAAAGAAACTCCCCATAGTTTATTGCAACAAGGAGATCGAGATGCCGCGGTTTATTCCATCCAATATTATGCAGACTGCTCCATAGAAGAGGCAGAGGAGAAAGTTAAGGCCATCGAAGTTATGAATCAAAGTGTAAGCGAGTTTTCATTATTAGACTTGATAGTACACATGGTCTACCTAAACAATACAGTTTTTTTGATGTTTAATTGTATTAAATTGTAGAACCTCAAACTACTTTCGGTCAGGCAAGTCCTTAGAAACCCCAAGACTCGAAAACCCCTTCTTCTGACCGCCTGTCTTGGAGCAGCTCAAGTTTTATCCGGAGTCATTGCCATGGGAATGTTTGGCACCTCGATCTTTGTGGAACGAGCTCATCTTACCAGGGTGAGCGTACATTCTACTAACATCATAGCGTTAATATTCACCCTTATCTTTCACGTATACTACCGATGTTTTTGGCAAATTTAAGTTTAATTCACCTTCCAAAATATAACAAGACTATTTTCAGACTACAGCCGGAATTCTCAACTTTGGTCTGACTACATCATTTTTGATGGGAGTATTTATTGCATTGTTCTTCTTGACCAAAATCAGCCATAGGATTTTGCTTTTGGTCTGTTTGCCCGTCCTCGCACTGTGCAATGCTACTTATGCCGGCTGCATTATCTATGCTCATGTAAGTTTAAAATACGAAACATAGGATTATAAGCTGATTATCACGGCTTTTTGGGGCATATTTTTAGTGCAAAAACAATATTCAGGTTTTCGTGGTGAGACTCAAAATTGATGACGCTGATGTCTAAGATAATACAAAACCTCATATTCAGAGCAACCCAGACACTCTGATCCCGGCCTATGGCATAGCAGTGGCCTTGTTCATCTTCGGTCTCTTCTTTTCGAACTCTTTGGAGAAGATTGGCTTCTTCTGTGGAGCTCTGATCACCCCGAGAGAAGCCCTCCCAGCTACCGCATCGACTAGCGTCCTCGTTCTCAACACAACGGCATTCATAATCCCTCCGATCTTTGCTCCATTACTCGATAACTTCCATGGCTATGCGTTCATTCCGTTTGTGGTGACAAATATTGGGTTTTGGGTCATCTTTTTGTTGTTTTACCCAAAGAAAACGCTGATGGAACAGATGTCAGCGGAAGCGTTAGAAGATGTTCAAGGTGGAGACAGCAAAGTAGCTCCTGTTGGTGAGTTATTTCAGGACAGACAATCCAAAAACTGAGTATTCTCAAAATCTGATTTTCAGCTGTTGGACTGAGCAATGAGACCGCCGGAGAGACAAATAATCTTTCCTCGACTTCGAAACCCTCCAACGAGAAGCTCTAATCATATTCAAAATAAATCTTCAATTTATTCGTTGTAAATCTCTAACATTGAAAACAGAGACCCGAATCAAAAAGTAGTACCTAAAAAGTAGAATAAGGCGCGAGAAATGGCTAAGAACGTACAACAGCACTACGAAATGGCGATGGAAATGGCTGGATTGGGCTTGGAATCCCTTAGAGGGCTGGGAAATTATGAAATTTAAGAGAATTGCAGGTAAATCTTAACAATTTATGACTCGGGAAGGTCTCTGAATGTCTAAAACCCCGAAAAATGTCAAGACCCACAAAACTGAACCTTCTACAATATCAAAAACCCTAAAAATTTCCCCACTTCCAAGCGAAAAATCCCTCCAAATCCAGAAAAGGACAAACGAAAAAAAGACAATGGCACTTGAAAGTTGAGAGCTTGATAATTATTACAAAACAACATATTACTGATGATAAAAATTGTTTGGGCTACCCGCTTCAGAGATTGAACAATATGAACTAAGTAAGGCCGTTTGTAATTCAGTTAGATTCAATGACTGAGACATAAACTTGGAGGAAATCAGTAAAACTGTACAAGTGTAAGAGAGGATGGAGGGGAATGAGAACAAGAGTCATATGTGGGGGAGATTTGGTCAGTGGTCGTTGGGTTTGGGGAGACGGAAACGTTTGATCTTATTGAGTGGCGCGGGGAGACCATATCTGAAAATTGAAAACCATTAGAACCCATTTTTGCCAATCCTTCTTTGCAAGATTGCACTATGCAAAAAGTAAAAATTTTCGCACAGTGCAAAAAATCGAAATAGCTGACTAAAAAATACTCCAAAGCATCCAAACTTGTGTTCAGTTCTATTCCTTTTGATCATCGCTAAAATTGAAAAAATCTTCGAAATCCAACTTTCTCTTCACCAGATACACAATATCCAAATTCCCCTCAATGACTCAAATCTCAAAACTTACTGTCTCGGAAGAGGCCTTAGTACATTTTGTTCCATGAACTTGAAAAGTGGGAACCAGATGACCTTCATCAAGTGATTATTTTCATTCCGACCGTCCCTTAGAACAGAGAAGGCCGCCATCGTGTGATATTGCCAGAAGACCCGGGTGCTGATCCAGTAGGCCAGGATTACATCAACGGTGTAATGACCGCGTGAGATCACCACACAAATCACTCCAACCGTTGAAGCCAACGCCGATGTGTAATGCAGCAGTTTCCATCGTCGGGGACTGTCTAAAACGATATAAATGGCCATGAGATGTCCAAAACTCTTCCTTAGTACCCAGATCACTACTCAAAAGTCTTGACTTACACTCGCGGATAAAGAGGTAGCATGTCACAAAAACTACAGTATGCCCACTGTAGATGTAATCTCCACACAAAGTGTGCTTCCCGTTGATTGAAAGCCCAACTCCACTTAATACCCTGAGGGCACGAAGTACAATGGCGCCAATTGTGCGATTTTCGCCCTGGAAAACAAATGGGATTAGCCATTGAACCGTCCTGATTTTTTATGTCTTTGCACTGTGCACGATATAAAAACTTATAACTTGCACCGTGCAAAAAATCAAAAAAATGAAAACCCGCACAAACACCGGCATTTTTTTCAAAACCAATTATAACAACTTACCGACAACTTCGGCGAGCAGTAGTAATTCTGATCGGCGACTGGGACCTGAGTAACAAACATTGTAACACACCGCCCGAAGTACAGCAACGACCCGATTGTGGCGATTCTCCTCAAAACAATCCATCGATGTCTGTGCAACAGAGTCATCAAGAGCATGCCGGCGAACGAGGACAACATCAGATATTCGCTGACCTTTAGAAGGCCCGGTTTGTAGGGAGTGTGCGCGAAAACGACGTCCGGAAGAGGGTCAGTTTCTGGGACAAAGTCATGGATGTAGGAGAGAACGAGGTCATTCGAGCAGCCCGCAACGAACAGGAGCAACAAGGCTAGCTGAAATTATGTTACCGTTACAAATTGCACCGTAATTTTATTAAAAATCATGATTCATGCTTTTTTCCAACTTTTTCGATAAAAAATGGACATAACTTGTGATTCACAGGGGAAATGGATGATGTTTATATCGGATATCGAATGAATCAGTCGTGAAAACAAGTGATTCATCCAATTCAACCAACGGAACTATCAAAAAACGTCTTTCTAGGTAAGAAAACGTTCAAAATTACAGTGTACTAGACGAAGTTAATCAAAATCAACCTCAGAATAAACTAAAAACATCAAAACAAGTTCGATTCACTTACGACAGTCTTGAAGCGCTCCTTGGGAAAGCGATGTGACCTTATTGCGTTCTCATCTCCATACCTATGACCCCTTCTTTCTTCATCGTCATCCTCTCCCAACAACGGAGCTCGCCCTTCCTCCAGAGAGTCCAAATAACTCTCCTCGGACTCGTCTGTGTTTGAAGAGCTGGATGTGCTGATCTGCGAGGCATTCGAGGCCGAGGGATGATGACCATGGGTCCGGCTTTGGACGGTGAGGTCCTGCCTGGTCACTGGCAGTGTTCTCTCCTCCATGCTCTCTGAAAACAAAAATTATTTCTTTATGAATCCAAATACAGAAGACTCCAAGCGAACAAAACAGTAAATCCTTGTTTTCGAAACAAAAATTATATTACTTTAGACGAAAAATATCGGCTTAACCCATAAAATAACTGTGAAACGCCCCCATTTTGATTCTAAATCCGTATTCCAGTGAGTTGTAACCCATGAAACCCAAACTTAGTTACCTAATCGCAGGATTTGGTCATCTGAAACCTCATAAATAAAAATAAGGGCATCACTCCTTTTGCGGTCATATTATAAAAGTGCAAAAAACAGGTATGAGTAATCCCAAATGTTACAAATTATGCTGCCATCAATTCTCCTACGATCTATGGCTCGTTTTACATAGAGATTAAAAATCTGACGTCTAGTATAATATAAAATAAGCAGAAAAAAAGCAGAAGCGACTTACTTGAATCAGTTCGACCCGTTATCAGTGGCTGGACGGGTCGTTTTCTACACCGAATCAGTCAAATTCATTCAAGTCGAAAGTGGAATCTGAACATAAACAAATCAGAAAAGGAATCCCAAAATTTTTTTTAAAATTCGCGACGAAAACATCGAAACTGGCGCAACTGTGGAGACTAAAAAAGTAATATTGACAATGTAAACATAGGGAGTAATTTCTCAACTCGGGATAATAAATCCAAACATCAACGGGAAAGTCGGGAGTTTAAAAAAACGGAAGAAATTGCGAAAGTAAGCGAAAGTCGTTGTAAATTCACGTTTAAATTAGCTAACCTGGAAAGTAACGTGATTCAAGCCTAAAAGGAACTGTTTTCCATGAAAATCGAATGAACTTTTATATTGTAGTAGGTAAGTCGTTGGTAAAACTTGATTTTCACTTGATTTCATGGCAAAATAAGATGGCTTATGCATAAATAAAGATTTTAGATGGCATTGCGGTTATTTTTAATGCTTATCATTTAGGAAATTTCGAGAAAATAAAGAGTAATACCTATTATCTTAAAAATTGGTACCTAAAAAAATATACAATGCCCGAAAATCGGAAAAAAATGGGACCGTTATTAAAAAAACGTAATGAGTATGAGATAAAAGTTAACGCCACGCCTAAACCCACTCGATAATCCGTCTAAACCCGTCGAATCAAAGGGGAAAAGCGGGCCCAGAAGTCATGTGCTCTCAAGAAAAGAGCCGATTGACGTGATCCCCGTCTTTTTTCCTGGACTCGAACGTTCCGAAACGAAAAATAAACCCACTGACATCAGGCCCATGCGTTCTGTCCGGATCAATCAATTGGGCTATTCTTATCAAGAAAAAAACAAGTTCCTGATGTAATTTCCACCTAAAGTAAGGTGGAGGGAAATCACATGAGGGGACGTGACAAGTGGCGGAGAATGTGTGACTTGAGGTAAGGAGTTGCGCAGAGAAGAGAGATCAATTTGTTTCCTCTGGAAATTTGGGAAAATAATGGGTTTGGGCTGGCATGAATAAGATAACTTGGTCCCGCAACGAAAACTTGGAGCGACCAAAAATCGCGCTTTGAGAAAGCAGTCTTTTACATGACGTTCTGCGTAGTGAAAATGAACTAAAAATACGAATGACTCCCTTCAAGTATCGCTTTTCATGTGGGACGAGACGAAATTTCCTCAATTTCGATGTCTCCGTGCATTCAAAAAGAGAACGTAAGCCCTTATCAAGCATTCCGCAGTGATAAGAGCCACCAAAAACCTAATAAAAAACCTCCCCAATATTTATTTACATAAAATTTCATAAAATCATCAAAAAACTTCCAGATCCTGAAGTCTAATTCCCAAGTACAGGGTGATTTTTCGGGTGAGAGGACAAAAACTAAAGGGTGATTCATTTCCGCTGAACATCACATTGTCAGCGGCCTTTTCAAAGGAAGTACGAGAAGCAAAATGGTAAACAAAAGGTTAGAAAATTCGATTGTTAATTGTGTAAAACAAGGCTGAACGGCTATGAAATAGATTCGATATGCAGGATGCTTTGACATTCTGTTATTTTTCTAAAGAACAGACAATGGTCGAAAAAATATGATTACAAAAGAATTTCTCTGGATAAAGTCAAGATTTTAGTCTTGAAAATTTTTTACAAGGGTCAAAAGTTGACCTCCAATATAAAAAATAGCTTTTATGTATTCAGTGAAAGGACTGACTTGGCCCTTTTTTAAGCGGTTTTTAATCTCAGAGCCCCCACGCACTGCTTAATCACACTTTGGCACTAGTTTTTGTTTCGCCGAAAGGTTGGGTCAAAAGCTTCCGAAAAAACGCAAGACGAAAAAGAAATGACCATATTAGCCGATGGAAAGCGGCGACACAAAAATCCCCCTCTCCCCTGCCTCCTCCATGATGTAGCTGTTTGTGGAGCTGGTGGTTTTTGAGGCGATGTTGTGCGGGTTAGTAAGAAAAAACGGGGAGAAAAGGCGCCTGTTGAAGCGGAAAAAAAGAAAATTTTATTTTGGAAATCTGAACAGGATATTTTTGCCATATGAAACGACCCGCATATAACGTCATAAACAAAGTCCTGTTTATTGAGGGCGTTTTTTTGACGAGCGAAGGATAATATTTGTGGATTTTATAGGGGAAAACTGAGGGAAATTTGATAAAAATTGGGAACGATGAAAATTTGAAGTCTCAAAGTCTCAGAAAACTTTAGATGACATTCTGAAAACATTAGCCAAAAAATGAATCTTACATTTTGAGAAAACGCATTGTTTTGAAGGGATTATTACCGTTGCGGAATAATTTGAAAAGTCTCAAATTTTGATTTTTTTATAAAATTAAAATTGAGAGAACCCGACAAGCCCTTACGATGTCCAACTCGTAATTTCACCCAAATCAAAGACGCGTTGGCCAGTGTCCATTTCATTAAGGCCGAATGAGCCCCGGAATTTCCATTTGAGAGTCTGGCGAACAGGAGGCCGCGCTCTCACCCCTCCCTCGCCCCCATCCTTAACTCACTTTTTTCGATAGTAGCGCAAATAAAAAAGGTCTGAATTTCGGCCAGACTCCAGAAGGTTCTCTTCCGCAAGCCGATTACAAAGACTTGGAGAAAAACTGACAAAATGAGATTTATAAAGGATTTGTCATAAAAGATGTACATTACTTTATACACCTTGGACGGATAGTAAAGTAAAAAAAGGGGGACCGGAAGAGGAAAGTCGAGAATCCTCGAGGAAATAGGCGCCGAAAATGGAATGGGGACAAGGAGGGGTCCAACACTGAGCGATGCAGAACGAAGTGCCCGGTTTTTGGACGTCTTCGGACAGCCTTCAGAAGTGGAAGACCAGTGGAAGTGAGATGACGGGAGATACTTTGGATTTTGAAGGGAAAATTGTAGAGTAAGAGGGTAGGTACTGGAAAAATTAGGGGGAGACGGCACAGCTATTTTTTGTCACACCTTCATCGTTCAAACGTTACCTTAAACCTTCAAAATTCACAAAATTCCCTCCAACCTTTGCCTAGACTAGAGTTTCCGATGTATTTTCCCATTTTCGAAACCCAAAAAACGAGTGGATGTCTCAAATTACAACGACGCTCGCAATAACGTTAAAATTTATTGATCAATGAATCAAAGGCAGAGCAGTCCAATGAAAATCCAATCATATGAGCAATGCTATAACAATACACATGAAAGTCGGATTGTAAACAGTCTAAAGGTTGTTTTCAAAATTTTGAGACTATTTCGCCCTCAGGGGAATATTAAACATGGTGATTGGTCTCCATGAGCTGACAGAAAATAGAGGCCATGAAAGGTTTTGGATGCAAAAAAAAGATATTTTTGAAAACATTAGTGGAATTGCTGAAAGAGTTTTGCGAAGGAAATTCCCAAACATGTAAATGAGATAAAAAAATAAAATTTTTTGTCTATTTTGTCAGTACAAAAAATTTGCGGTTTGTGACAAAAGATTTATTTTTTCGTCAAAAAATCATCTGACCGTCTCTCTAAATTTTCTGTAGTCTCTTTCGGAAATTAAATATTTACAATTTGCCAGGTTGTATGTAAAAATCAGCCAAAAATAAAAAATAGAATTAAAAAAATCTCAGTCCATCGGATCAAAGTCCGAAAAGCCAAGCGCCCCGCGGAAACTTGATCGGGCGCCAAACCCCCTCCCCCGACAATTCCCGCTCGAAACCCCCAAAAAATCGACGCTCAAAAATGGCTATGTATAAAAAGACAGGTAAACGACACTCTCATTAATCCAACACCTAATCAACGAATCCCTCGGAAAAGGGGAAACCAGTTTTCATCTTCTCCTTGGTTGTTCCCAAGGAGAAGATGACTCGGTTACCTTTGGCTGATCGCTCTTCCACCCTCTGCTTCCCCTGGTTGTCTCCCCTGAACGTCTCGGGTCTCAGGTCGCGAGGAGTCGCATGATCGCCGACTTTTCCATCTACCTTAATTAAGCCGTTATGAAATGGTGTTCGTGGAGGAATCGGAGAGAGGATCGGGATTTTATAAATTCACTGGAGAACGGAGGGGGTCTAGATTAACTGGAATAGAAAAATCTTCAAAAAGAAAGAGCTCGAAATAAGACCGTTTGATCTTTATCATGATTGCCGGAATTCCATGTAACATTCTGAAATTAATTTCAGCACGAAAAAAGTGTAAAAAATCAGCTTTTTCCAATTAAAAATTAGCCAAAAATCTGAATAAATCGTCAACTCCAATGTTGCTTGTTAAATCCGCTAGAAAAAGAGCTCTAACCTCCAAATTAACGGTAGCTCCAAATTTAACGGCGCTTCAGAGAGTTCGTTAAAGCAAAATCGAAGCTCGGGAGTTAGCGGATAAAAGAAAGTGAAGTCCGCTTCGCATCGCAAAACTCCCACATCGGAAGACATCCTTCATCTCATCGAGAAATCCCAAAATTCGACGAACAACGAGGTAATTGGGAGTGGTTTCGAAAAAAAAGAAACTCATGACTTCACGAGTTCATTACCCAAGGATTACACTCTAATGACCAGCGAGGATGCAATGCATAAGTAAACAACAAGAGGATTATTTAAAACAGCAAAGTGCGGAAAAATTGTACGTGCGTGAAAAGGCTGAATAAAAAGTATTCGATTAAGCTACAATGGATTCTTTAAAGGAATATTTAGAGCAAATTTTGTTAGAAATTCCCTTGGACACTTAGAATAAATGCATAGCAATTGCTGAGAATTTTTAGCGTGTACTCTTCAGTCGCATCTGAGATGTTCAACGTCCTTTGGTCGCTCAGGTGTTGCGGAAAGAAAGGAAAACGTTTTTTTGGGCAAAATTTTGAAAATTTATAAAACACTGATTTTTTGTAGAACCATTATTCTCCCCAATAGAGCCAACGACCGCAGTAAAGCCAACTTTATCTGGAAGTATGGGCCGTATCAAAAACGAACAGGTTTAGACATTCGTTCCTTCCCAGGAACCCACACCCAGAACTATATGAATCCCCCAGTATTATACTATATTTTCCCGCCATTCCCACTTCCTCGACGGAAGAAAAAAAAACTTTTTCGCCCAAAAACACAACAATGATTCTGTTTATAGAGACGAATGAGCGATCTTAAGAATTGGAGAGCGGGATAATTGCAGCTCCGATTTCCCCCATTTCAAACACTTTTGAATTCACTTTCCCTCAGGGGATTTAGTCAAGCGAGGAGGCTGGAAATGGGCCAAAAAACATTCGAAACACGGGGAATGTTCCGGAAAGAAACCGATGATTACTCCAAAGTTACTAGAGGTGTTTATTGAGCATTGCGGGTGAAAAAAGTAGAGCAGATTAGAGAACAAAATGCCGTGAAAACTGCGTATAATAACTTTTTCTGAACAGTAAAAACGTCTTTAACTTCCCGTTGAGGTCAGATTTTAAAGCAATAACCGAAGAGACATGCATATGTCCAAAATAATTACCGAAAATCGCGGTGAAGACGAGTAAGGAAAGGTTATGACAACACGCAGAGTAAACATGTTTGTTTTTATTACTATTTATGCAGCAAGTACCCGGGTCTGAAAGCAAATATGAGTAGTTCTAAGGAAGACATGTTTTTTTTCAATTTAAAGGATTATTTTGAAAACACTGTAAAATTTTTTCTTATTTGAAAAAAACTATTGAAGTAGGTCTTAAAGTTTGCGTCTTGAAAGTCACGTAATATCGATCGCTGCGCAACAAGGAAGGCATTTATTTACGTAGACAAAATTTGGCACGAAACAACGCTAAGATCTCCGAAGTCCCATCGAGGTTTTCAGCTTGCGCTTTGCAGAAATGACCGATATTTTTTGCGAAAAATTGAAAATGATAAATTTGTGACCTGTCTAGAGAATGCCCGCAAAATCAAAGCTACCTCTAAATATTACAGTATAATCGACTGTAATTGTCATTTTGTGAGTATTCAAACTTTGAAAGACCTCCGAAAAACTTCCTTATGACCTTAGGAAGCCATGTGGAACTTCAGACAAGTCACAGGGGGAGCGACGAAGATATTATCAGTGACAAGTGGAAAAGTAACAGAAAACGGAACCGAGGTGAAAGGGGGAACGGTTAATTAGATCGGGTTTCCGTTTACTCGCCAACCGGTAAGGCAAACGTTGCTATCTCTACGTGAGAATTGGTCCCAACAGCCTCTGTTTATAAGCAGTACAGACCTATGAAACAACATGAGAAACACTCCATTAAGCTTCCTTTGGAGAGACTCAATACAAGAAGGAGATTTCCATCTAATCTGGCCACAATATTATACACTTCCTGTCCAAATCGAGCGAGATCTCGACTAATCGCAACTTAATCCGGTAATTAGTCCGCCTGAGAAGCAAAGAAGCAAACTCTTTTACAGAGATCTATCCGGAAATTGGTTACTGTGGAATGGGAGGCCTAGTTTACAGGGGAAGTACTCCAATTGCGACGCTCAGATTTTGATGAAACTTGGCACAAATTTAGAATAATTTTTTCTAAGATATATGCGAGAATCCTAGCTCGCGCCTTGCAGAAACACCCGAGATTTTTAGATCGAAAGTCGGCCAAAATTTAGGACTTTTTGCCGAATTTCGGCACGAAAAGTTTCATGCCTATTTCAACTGTAAAGGACAATGTTTCTACAAAAAATCACATTTTTCCGCACGAAACTGCCAAAGTTATGGCCAAAAAGCGCTTTTCTCTCTGACCGCAATCCGCGTTTAGCGTGCTCTCTCGGCGACAAAAATCGTTCGATATCTCGACGGCGCTTGCAAAGCGCGAGCTAAAACTTTCAGGAATTGATATTTAGTTAATGCCTGACATGTGTGCAAAATGTAAAGAAAATCTGAGCGTCGCACTTGGGGTACTTCCCCTGTTAGTAGGGTTAAAAAGATGTAAACTTAAAAAAAGCAAGATCACATTAGATTTTTTTGATTAAGAAAACACAGGCACACAAGTGGACGATTGTCAGATACGACATTAAAACTTTGACGAGACTTGACCGAAATTATTCTTCAGGAAAAGAATTTGAGTCCTGTTTGTGACATATTCGCAAGGCATAAGGTAAAATTCTCATTTTTTTTGGTCTAGCCGTCTGGGAATGTAATTACAAAAGTTAAAGGAAATGCGCATATGACAACAACAAGCCCATTCGGCAACAAACGTCATCAAAAATTTTTTATACGGCAAGTTTATTGCCCGCTGAATCACCGTTCCCTCAAAGTGAAGCCATGATTCCACGCCAAGAAGTAATAAAGACTGATCTCCCGGATATTTGTCGTCCGCCCGCTGCCTGCCTGTAAAAACGCCCCCAGGATCTGTTTGAATGCACTTCATTCCTTTGACGCAAACAAAAATAAATGGCGAAATCGGTAGGGGTTTTGTTTGAGAAAAAGTTTTGAGACGCCGGTTTTTTCTTCGGATTATTTGCATTTAGGAACGTCTAGTTCGTTCCAACACAGCGGGACAATTGAGAACTTGAGAGAAAATTGAAAAAAATGAGTAAAAGAATAATAGGACTGGTCTTTGGGATTGAAGATTGAAAAGGAGAGAACAGAAGTTACATGATGAAAAAAAGGCTATACAGGGGAGATGACCGAACTGTGATGCTCAGATGATCACGGAATCAGACATACTGTGCCTTACAAGTGAAGCTTTTCATTCAAGTTTTTGTTTTAGGGTTTTCTAAAATTTCTATATGGTTTCTTCGGACTTTATGGCGCGACTAGTAAACGGACCAAAAATTGATGGCTCGGAGTTTGGGCTTGTGATCTGCAGACATCCAAAGCCTTTATATGCGGAAGCTGTGCTCCAGGGTTGAGCCGATTTTCTTGGCATTTCTTACACGTCTCAACTAAAAGCTTAATGGTGTGTACTATGCATCAAAGACAACCCCACAGCTCCCAGATTCCGACTCGAAGGCAGAATATCATTGATATTTATGTGAATCCAAATGAATTAATAATAAATTCACATTTTTTGACTCAATTAGCCGCCTTTTTGACAAGAAAACACTGGTATATATCATTGAAAACAATGAATAAAAGAAAGGCGCCTCAATGATTATTACAAAACTACCATCCCAAAAGGTACAGACTCCGAGAATAAACCGAAAACATAATCTCCTCCTCAAAATAGAGTCTGGCAGAAATCGTATAGAAAATGTGTGTAAGTCTGTCCGAGGGTCTGACTGCAGCTGATGACTAAATTTATCGGACCGTGATTGCCCCAGAATTTGAATTTTGAATCGGAAAAATAAGCTATGAATGGGGGAGGCTGAAATAGTTTGTGATTTGTTTTAAAAACGGGTATGGCATAACCCGGCTAGACGGTTTGAATGTGCGTTTCATTACTCATTTATCATTGTACAGTTGGTTACCCAATTTTACTGTTAGCTTTTGGAAAACCGGGTTAAAACTCTTAAAAGCCGCTATACAAATTGTTGAAACACGCAGTTATACATCCCAACGGTTTTTTGCCAAGTCCTTCTCCTCATTTTGCATGGAGAAATGAGAAAGCTGAATGCTGTCTAAATTTAACACATCCACTTCACTTTAACGTTTGCGGAAATTGCAATGTCCTCAAATGGAAATTGTGGGATTAGATGGAATAATGAGGACACAGGGTCTATGTTTTTTGGGGTAAGAGCAATGGCTGGAAGCGAACAAAAAGCAAATGATGACTACGAGGACTGAACTGGGAAGAAATGCAATAAAAAATGTTTTTTGCAATTTGCAACGGAGATAAAAGCGGCATTTAAAAATTTCTCGGTACTGAAAAAATCAAAGTTTCGTAGATTTAACGCGGCATTCCGATATGCTTAAAATTTTGGGAACTAGGAAAAAAACCAAATTTATCATGAGTAAAAATTATATCATATTCTTGCAGCCTTTTGCAAAATCAACCTTCTGCAGAATCAAAAAAAATCACGTCATCTTACACATACCTTAGTCCCAACTATAAAGCCACGACCGTTTCAAATATTAAGTTTCCCACGAATTTTCCCATAGTAAAATCTGAGAAATAAGACATAAGAAATCATTTTAACCCCCCTTTCCAGATTCCCAACAGAAGAAAAAACCAGAGAATAACGGATGGAACAACGCGTTGCAGTAGTGTTTGAAGAAGTAATTATCGCGGGAAACGAGAAGGTCAAAAGTCGGGAAATAAGTGTTCTGAAATTAGCTGTCGTTGTTTTAGAAAAGAAGAGTAAATACGGGTTAAAACACTCGACTCATAACTCTGGGCTTTGTCGGAAGAGATTAGGAAAACAGAATGGGATGGTAGAAGTCGCATCTGTTTATGGAAAAACTTAATTTCCATCTGTGTTTTATTGCGTTCTGGTTTGTAATTTCAAAGAATAGTAGAACTTTGTTCTAGAAATTTCTTATACCGGAAAACAATTCAAAAATTTCCTTTACAATCCAAGAACCTTGTTAAAGTTATCTGGAAGATGCACAAGCCTTTGGAAATGGGAACAAAATACATAAATAATTCAAGCATTTTTAGACGATGACCTTCACGGTTCAGCCTTTTATTTCTTGATTACCAAAGAAATGAGAATAATTAATTAAACGATTTTAGATCCAACAAAATCATGGGTTTCCTGTTTTACAAGCAATTGAAAAATTGAAAGTTCAAATGATTCCTTTTCACAGGCCAAGCTTCAGAAGAGGGACGTAATACATTGGTTGTCCAACACAACAGTAGTCTTATATTTCGAACAATTTCTCGAGTTATATTGGTTGATCCGAATTTACTTACAAGGGAAGTACCCCCAAGTGCGACGCTCAGAATTTCTTTAGATTTTGCGCACACTTCGGATATGGACTAAATATCAATTCCTCAAAGTTTTAGCTCGCGCATTGCGGGCGCCGCCGAGATATCGAAGGATTTTTGCCGCCGAGAGAGCACGCTAAACGTGGAGAGCGGTCAGAGAGAAAAACGTTTTTTGGCCATAACTTTGGCAGTTTTGTGCGAACAAAATTAATTTTTTGTGAAAAGAACCTTTACGGTAGAAATAGGGATCGCAGACTTGCGACTTGCGACCTAAAAATCTCGGCGGTTTCTGCAAAGCGCGAGCTACTGGTCGTTCCAGAAAGTGCGTAGACTTTTTTTCGCGGCGCACAGTGCGTTTTTTCTCTTTTTGCACTGTGCAGTTGTTGTCGCTCGCTCAAAATTCGCGGCGACGCAGTTGAAAAAAGCTTAGAATTCCATCGATTGCGACCCCGCATCGATTGCGACCCAGCATCGATTGCGACCCCGCATCGATTGCGACCCAAAATGGGGTAAAGCGACCCCGGGATGAAAATTCTTTGATTCTCTTCGGGAAAAACTTGCTTTAGGGGTTTTCGAGGGTGCTGATTTCGAAAATGATGTTCATTTTTCCTCTAGTACTACATAGTGCTGTCTGATACTATATAGTACGAAGTGAAAATATCGCTTTTGACGTTAAATACTCGATTTAGGGGTTTTCGAGGGTGCTGATTTCGAAAATGATGTTCATTTTTCCTCTAGTACTACATAGTACTGTCTGATACTATATAGTACGAAGTCAAAATATGGCTTTTGACGTTAATGGTGTTGGTTTGATGCTTAGTACTCTTCAAAAACACGTTTTAAAGACTTGGTGCTTTATAGTACTGTCTGATACTATATAGTACGAAGTAAAAATATGGCTTTTGACGTTAATGGTGTTGGTTTGATGCTTAGTACTCTTCAAAAACACGTTTTAAAGACTTGGTGCTTTATAGTACTATCTGATACTATGTAGTACGAGGTGTAAACTTGGCCTTTAGGCGTTAGTGGTGTTGTTCTGGTGCTTAGTACACTTATTTTTACTTCGTACTATATAGTATCAGACAGTACTATATAGCACCAAGTCTTTAATACGTGTTTTTGAAGAGTACTAAGCATCAAACCAACACCATTAACGTCAAAAGCCATATTTTGACTTCGTACTATATAGTATCAAACAGTACTATGTAGTACTAGAGGAAAAATGAACATCATTTTCGAAATCAGCACCCTCGAAAACCCCTAAATAGAGTATTTAACGTCAAAAGCGATATTTTCACTTCGTACTATATAGTATCAGACAGTACTATGTAATACTAGAGGAAAAATGAACATCATTTTCGAAATCAGCACCCTCGAAAACCCCTAAAGCAAGTTTTTCCCGAAAAGAATCAAAGAATTTTCATCCCGGGGTCGCTTTACCCCATTTTGGGTCGCAATCGATGCGGGGTCGCAATCGATGCGAGGTCGCAATCGAGCGGGGTCGCAATCGAAGGATTCCAAAAGCTTACGTCGCGGCGATTTTTGAATTGCACAGTGCGAAAGGTCAAATGCACAGTGCGGAAAATTTGCGACGAAAAGTCTACACACTTTCTTGAACGACTAGTAAGATTCTCGCATATATTTTATAATAGAAAAAGATTATTCTAAATTTGTGCCAAGTTTTATCAAAATCTGAGCGTCGCACTTGGGGTACTTCTAGCCCGGAAGTGAGCGAGATCCTGTATAATTTCTTAATCTCTTAATCTCTGTATCCTAATAACCGCCGATTTAACTTCTGCTACTTCAAACATCATTAGTGTTTTTGTTCTTTCGAAATCTTCCTCATTATCTTCCTGACTAATTGATCCCAGCCATCGCCACGTTTCGAAGATTTGAACATTCCTTTGGCCCAATATATCACCTGTGATTAGCCGTGTTTTCTACTTTTCTCTCGTTTTTTGAGAGCCTTGAAGGGAACAAAAAAAGAACACATGTTGATTAAGGATGATACGAGCGACTCAATTGGGGTTGGAGGGCAGGGGTCGTACCACGAACAGGCGTCCAGTCGAAGGCATTGTCTCATTTCCGGCAGTTCAACTGGTAGTCGTATTGTTTTTTGTTGCTTTTTTTGATCTTGGAGTTATTTGAGAAATTTGGCTTGCTACGTAAGCTGTTCATCATTAGCTGTATCTGACTACTACAAAGCAAAGAGTTGAGAGTTTATGTACCAACGAAGAAGATTTAGTGTTCGTAGGTGAGTGATTTTTCATGATTTAATTCAATTTGAGCCCGCAAAGTTTTTAAATTCGACAAATTTTGATCATTTACCCGTAAACTGATATCTGAAGCCAAAATTTTGTCACCCAATACTCGTTATAATCTTATTTCTATAGTCACGATCTCCATTGTTTGTCTTCTAGTATAACTAAGAGTAAAATTACTGTGATGATGCGGATATCAATGTGATAACATTACTTCCGTGTCAGTCTTCTGAAGCCACCAGATCGCACTTTTGACTTCTGCCGCGATGTGCGCAAGCGACGGTGTGAACGTCGAGAACATTCTTGCATGCATAATCAGAGTATCATCTGTCGAGTTCTGGTTGGCTATGGGTCGCTGGGACGGTGTGGAATGGTAGAGTAGGCCATTGAGGTAATCGGTGTTTGGTTTCAACTATATTTTTTGAACTACAGTAGACTAAAGAAGTGCTTAGAGGTGGCAAACATGGACACTTCACTTTACAAGTGCATACCTATCTTTAGTTATGTATGTGGGATTTCATACAAGTGGAGTTCCAAAGAAGCTTTAACTGGCGGTGTCTTATTCGCATAGATATTGCCAAAAAAACGTTTTGTTCCTTTAACCTTTCATACTCTCTCCTCGGCAAAGATCCTTAGAATGTGGCCCTGCCAAGCGCATGCTATGGCTGATCGTACAATTCAGCATTCGTGAAGGCGGCTGAATTACTTGAAATATTTTTAGTTTTTGTTGAATAACATCTGTTGTGCTGACTATCATAGATAGTTAGAGATTTATTTTGCAAAGATTCTAAATTTGTTTTGGTTTACATTTCAAATTGATAAAGACCGACTTATTTACCACATGCTGCTCCAACGTGAAGGATCAAATGATAGGAGAACTTTCTGGCGTGCCATTTGCAAGAAATTATAAACAAATGAGCTAAAAGCTGCAGAAAATGGCCATAAAACCATGGGCACCGTTGATTTTTCCATAAAAAAAAAACAAAATATCGTTTTAGAAACGGAACCCGTCGTTGGAAATACGCTAAAGATGGGGACGATGCAAAAGCGGCGGCAGAAAGGATCCCAATGTCTGTGAAAATCGAGGCCACAACTTTTAACGAAGATAAGCAGAAGCAGGCTGTGGAAATCGCCAATCATGCCCTGGATATATGCTGTTCGGAAAGCGAAATTGCCTCCTTCATCAAGACGAGATTTGATGACATTACGGGTAAGGAACAGTAGCCTTAGAAATAAAATTTTCTGAACAAATACTTGAAAAGAAACAAAAAGCACGATAATTTCGATATATCATGAATTTGGTTTGTATACGATGTTGGTACATCCAATTCATTTTTATGGAATTTATAACCTTCAGACAGATGTCATCATGTCATTGTTGGCCGAAATTTTGGCTCACACATTAGTGCCGAGGAGTATATCAAGTTCCGGGCGACCAAAATTATCATTCTCATCTATCAATGTGGATCATTGGACTGAGATATAATACAAGTTTCAAGGTGTAATGATACAATCATGTATAAAATTCCGGTTTTTTTCTTTTTATTTTTATACAGTTTTAATAAATATTAAATACGAGTAATGTATTCAGTCGCTGTGAAGAGGCTGACTGTAAATATAAACTTCTGTGCCATTTTTTGTAGTCCCCGACCATCAACCTTCGGACTAACGGCAAACAAGTTCCTTGAATTCATGCGATTTGAACATCCACAGAAAACACCTTCAAAATATTTTCAAACCATAATTGAAAAGTTCAAAATTTTACAGTCCAGCCATTTAAAGGGTAATCAAAAACACATTCGGCACTACTTTTTGTGAATACAATATCCGCAAAAGAGAAACATTTTTTTTATTCTCTAGTCTAATGTTGTAAACAATATGTACGTGATATTTTGGAATAACAGGAAGTAATTATTGTCTTGTTTTTTGTCTCGTCTCGAGCAAAAATCATAACTACGGGTGTTAAGCAAAATCGGAGAGAGAAAACAAGGTGTAGTTATTGTAGTAAATATTGCGTGTTGATTTCGTTGATCAAAACAAGACTCTGGCGTTTTTTGCACATGTAATTATTACAATTACAATTACAACTGCACATGTTATCTTCCTTGATTGTTGGTCTTTTCCCCTCTATGTTGTAATGACTTTTTTTATGTACCTTTACAGTACCTACAACCTGTCAAACAAGTCTATGTAATGTTTATTGAAACAAAAGACTTCCTGTTAATGTATGCTTAAAGATGTCATTTGTTTCGAGAACATGACGTTGAACTATTATTTGTCTCGGGATTGTTGTGAGGGTGGAATTGTTGGTTTAAGTGAGGTTTTAAAGAAAATTGTTTCCCCGAAATACAGGATGAGGGAGTTAAAGCTTGATAAAAACCTTTGGATCGATCGGAAGTTGGACTAATTTTTGATGAGAAAAGATTTGCTTTGTTTACAAAAGTTATTGTTAGAAATTGGGCTGGTTTGACGAAAAACAATGAATTTTTTTGGGCACAATAAAAGTTCTTTGGAGCTTCAGAGCTGACCGACTGATTGTGATGAGGTTTCCGGCTCCAGAAAGTTTTCGTTAAACATATCGTGTCCAATACTTAGAACAATTGCGTATGCCAAAAAACTATTTTTACATTTACTTTCCTCTAGTATTTTCATATTTCGGTCTTCGATTAAATGTAATTTGCACATATTTTTATTATTTTATTAATTTCGTTTACATACAGGCAATAAATACAAACAATTCAAATAAATACCTTTGAACAAAAACAAAAATATTCTGAAGATCATTAAAAGTTGTGAAGCGTCTTGGTCGAAAATAAAGCATTAGAATTTGTAGTTTACGTTATTAGACTACGTATTACGATAGACCCCTAAGCAGAAAATAACGTCCGTTATATCCAGGTTCTGTACAATGAGTGCGTGTGTTAAGGCTGTGTGGGCATACAGTATCGTATATGTAAGTGAATATACAATGGAGTACATGCGTAATGTCAAGACGAAGGTCGAGAGCGAAAGAATTGTTTTGCGAGCTCGTTTCGAGAGAACCGTTCTGTTTTTTGGACATGGATACATAAGGATTATGAAACAAGGAAAACAAATAAAACAAGAGGGAGATTTGGGACGGCAGATGCGAAAACACGGCCATATTCGATATGGGCTTGGACTGTTCAACTGGTCTTTTGGATCCGCCAGAGAATAGAGTTGATCAAAATAAAATAGCAGTTCTTTTTACTCTTTTTTGTCCCTAAAATCGGTTAAAAAACCCAAATACTCTGAAAATGGCCGTGTATAATGCCATCATTTCCCAAGACCTCCCTAAGAACAAAGGAGTATCTAAAAAATATTTGAAAGCCGTAGGCAATAGTCTAAGCGTACTTCAACTTGACTACCATCAAATTCTCCCGAAGTTGCGAGAATTTTCGGCACAAGAGAACCGCCAAATAGATGCACAATGTCACGCTCATAACGAGCAGAGCGAGAATGTCCAGATTGTTGTACACAATGAAGTTCATGTTGGCCAATTCAGGCCTCAGCTCTGGAAGATTTCCATTCTGCAGAACAAAGTCGACCCATTTAATGAGTGTTTCGTCCGGCTGGTCGGGCTTGGTTCGGAAGAGTCGGGAATGGCGATCCGCATTTTGCTGATAAATAGGATTTGTGAGGAGTTCGGAGAGCTTAGAAGCCACCAAATCGCCGGTGATTTTCGAGGGTTCCAAGGCGATTCCAAGCTTTCGGTATTCAATGGCTTTGGCGTTGCGATGTTGGTCGAAGAAGAGGGGCAAAACCAGCATTGGGACTCCGCGAATTCCACTTTCAAGGATGCTGTTGTATCCACCATGAGTGATGAAGAGCTTGGCTCGAGGATGCGCCAACAAGTCGCTCTGGGGAATCCAGGAGACGGCATCAATGTTGTCAACTTGTCTTGTCATGTTCTCAAAGTCAAAGTCTTCAGAATCCATCTTCACGATGAAGTGGTAATCCGTGAATCTGGCGAAAGCGTCGACCAAAGCCTTCTTTCTCCACGACGCTACAGCGCGAGTTGGTGCAGCAGTGCCTAAGGCAAAGATGATGAATCCTTTCTTTCCTTTCATGGCCATCTCTTGGAAGTCCTGAAATATTTTTATAATCAAAGCCGTTAGTTAGTACTGTAAAAATTGTTTACCAAAATTTAAGGAACGGCCCGAAACTTTCATTTCCCGCGGTTTCGATTTTTAATTTGAACTTTTTATGTTTTAATAATCGTTCGATGATATGACGGAGACAGATAACCGTTACCCAACAAGCTGTTGCACTTTTAGGCCTCAAAGACTGTTACAGTAAGAAATGAAAGTAATCTGATAAAGAATGGAATTGTTGCACTCTAACGCAAGAGTCACGCGCCAGCCGTTTTTTGAGAATACGTTATCAGCACTTTGCTGTGTCTGGATGCGGATGTTACAAAAAACGAAAATATGGGACCTTTGCAAACATTACTTGGCATCGTAATGTTGCGACTTTTTGGAACCTATTTCAGACCCATTTTAGTAAAATCTTCGGTTTTTGGATAGGTATTTGTTGAATTTATGAAAAAAAACTTACAGCTGAAAGTTTCTGCGGCCTGGTAAGTCCAACACCCCCAATGTTGATGCATTTGGAAGGCAAAGGCCGCACGGGATCAAAGAATTGATCGCCATTCATGAACATGATGGCCGAGTCCGCGGCCAAAGCAGCGGCCGATGGGAAATCAGGGCGGACGTACTTGCGGAAAAGCCGGGTTACCTGAAAAAAAGGATTATTTCCATTATCAGCATTTAAAACAGATTTTTTTTGCAGAGCTTTCCTGTTTTCTTGTTTACTGTTTTCAATTTTTCAAAATTTTTAATCTTTTTTAATCCCTCTACTCTAGCTGATCAATTCCCTCAAAGGCATCAAGGCAGACTCACTATCAGAGTGCGTCATTGCTGTTCCATTAATTATTTACAACCCTCCTTTTGTAATGATTTCCGGGCAAATCGGCTTAAGTCCATCATTGTCATTTAGATTTGTTTTCTTGTCAAAACACACTATCGGAACAATCAGTTGACTGTTTGGTCTAAATTATTGTTGATCAAACAATAATTCAGAGGAAGAGGGAGCAAAGAAAATTTTTGTTTTTTCCCGATACTGCAGTTTTTTATCATTGCACAGTGCGAAAAGAGAGGGTGATGAAGAAACGTTGTCACAAAAAGCACGTGAACTGATTGTGTGGTAATACAGTAGAAATTGAGGCCACAAAGTGTGATCATCAGCAGCTGATTCCTCCAGGATAAAAAACGCAAAAAATAAGTCATTTCAAAATTTTAAATTTTGGAATAAAACTCTCAAAAATGCCTTGTCATCAACAATTGAGGACCATAAACGCTACGGAAATTTCAAAATTTGCACTTTCGCTCCTCCACATAAAGATTCCAAAAATTCTGTTCTCTCCTGTTACTCACACCTTTCGAAATACCACACAGTTCTCCTGAACTCTCGCACTATTTATTCGAAAAGGTGCTCAGGAATGCACTCGGTAGGTCAAAAACAGCCTGGAAGGAAACTGATCCCCTAGAAACAAAGGTTTGTGTTTATAGTGCACATAAGTGTCAAAGGGAATGTCGAAATAAAAAATTCCCCACTCTCTTATTTATTCGCATGTTGTCTGGTTTTTCGAAACATGCGGAAATTCACGCATGCTGTGAACTCTTAAACTGATTAGAAAGTAAAATAAGGGATACTGTAGTTTGAACTCTGAATGATTAAATTTTAAGCTCTTGCTCAAGAAGAGAGTAAGATGGTAGCATACCTGAATGTCCAATTCCAAAGCATGGATTCGGCCAACGTAATGTTGAAGCAGATTGTAGGCTCTTTCCCCAATGCTCATCACAGGGCTCAGGAAATTGTCCCAGGTGGCTGGAACGTAGGCGGATTCAGAGGGAACCCCCAAAGCCCACGCAGCGATTTCGTGCATTGGCCCGGTTGTAGTCCAAATATGAACGGGTATTTCGAGCATGTGGATTAGAGATATATCACAGAAATCAACGTTGTCAGCAATCGCCAAGTCGAAGTTCTCGGCTTTGAGGGCTTCGAGCTCATCTTTGCGCTTCAGAATCTCTGGAAATCAAATTTTATATTCATGGAAACAGAGGATGAAAAAAGATTTCAGACATCTCTAGCAAGACTTGCGTTGACCGTGGCCTAAAGCTTCTTACCTTCGCAAACTCTGTACTGGCTGATCACCTCCATCCGATGATCGAAAAACGACGGAGATTGGGCTTCAAATGGATCACCATGGGACATCATAACCTCATCAAAGAATCGGCCCAAATCATGCATTCGAACAACCTTGGCCAATTTAGTGCCATTCAATTTGTTGAAAGTGGAAGTTTCAGGGATGAAGAAGGTGACTTGATGTCCGGCCTTGACCAAGACGTCAGCCATTCGACCGGTGTACATGACCATACTGTTGGAGAGATTGGGGGAGACGAAAAGGATCTTGGCGGATTGGTAGGCATTAAGGCAGAAGAAGAAGAAAACGAGGGCATTCCTTAGAATCATTCTATAGTTGGGTAGGCTGCAATCTTAGGAATATAGTATGAAAGAAAAACTTGCCAAAGAAATCGCGGTATTCAAAAGTTGCGGGTACATTGGTTGATATGTAAAACAAAGTGGAACTGTAAATCTGGGCATGCCTAATTAGCACGATAAAAGAGAGTTTTAGGCTAGAAATGCCCCGAGGCAATAAGGCCTAGAAAAATTATAGACCCCGCTGTGTGTAACCCTTAAAATTGGAGGAAATCAATGGTTATGAATAAAAATCTGTCAACCATATTCAACATGTAAACATGTTTATAAACAACAGACTTATCTCCTTATCACGCAATATCAATCCTAATGGCTACCGTAACCCCCAAGCCGAGAACAAAACGTTTTACAGTATCCGCGAACCTCTCCACCCCCAATCTGCGGCCACTTTTCGGCCCCGCAGGACAAGTAAACAGGCCGGCTCGCCCTGAGGCTGTTGTGCGTTTGAGACTCGGACCGTCCACCATTCCCACTCGTTGCTTATATACCCCGCAACGCCCTCCGGGGAGAAAAATGTTTTGTCCCTGTAGTACAAACCCTAAATTCGACAAGACAAGAAAAAAAGAGGAGGAGTGCAGACCGAAAAACATTCGGAAAAAACGCGCCGAGTGGTAAAGACCAAAAGGGGCGGAGCCTCGTGTCGCCGACGATATGCTAATGAGTGGAGCGCTTATCAAAACCCGTTTAAGGGCATGTCAAAAAAGATTTCCTGAACTTTGATTAAAAATTTATTCTAGAAGCAGTAAGAGGGAAGTGGGCTGTTAGCTAGTAAAGTTAAGAGGCGTGGGGGATTAAAACAGATCAGTAAACATTTGCTTAGTAAACTAGATTACGGTAGAAGACCCCGCCTACTTTTTTGGGGAGGATTTAGATGGGGTAACAGGGGAGGTTTGGGGGACAAAAAATCAGTAAGTGTCTGAGCAGTTATTAAGGTTTTAGAATGTTCTCAACAGAGATAAAACTGATGTTTGTAGGTCACACTAAATGAAAGTGAAAGAACAAATTTGATTGTGAAATTGAAAATGCATTTGAACTCTTCAACTTGAGTAGGAATGAATTTATGAAATTTCTTGAATCAACAATTTTAAGACAAATCCTTAGCTCTCAGCCATCTCAGTTTAAAAAATTAAATCGTCAAGAAAGGTCGCTGAACATTTCAGCGAGAAGGCATGACTAGAGGCCGCTGAAAGTTTTGTCTTCAATAGATTTTCCTCTAGGAAACTTTTTGAACAAGTATTTTGAATCTATATCAGTTTGAGTTGCCTTCAATGAAGAAAGATTTAAATTGTTAGTTTTCTCGAAGCTCCATCTATGTGTGCTCCCTTGGCTTCATGGATTCTTGAACAACAACATCTTTCCACCACGTGGTTCTCGACAAAGCCCCACTTATCAGTCCCACCAAAGTCCGCTTCAATCCTCCAGGGAACTGTTCAATACAATATTTGAATTCAAACGAAAAAAACATTTAATTGTTTATCATAAATTCATATACGCAAACATTCAAAAATTCATGGGAAAAGTTTATTGACAGTTACGAAAAGGTTAACCCTACAAGTTCCGTTATTTTTTCCGGTAACTGCAACGATTACATATTTACAATTTCTTGTTTTTAAATTTCAAAGAACAACGTACTATTTTGAGCAAAGAAGGTTGTAAATAATTAAATTCCGAGCAGTTTGAGAGTAAACAGTTTTTGTAAAAATATTTTTTTCAAAGGAATTCCGACAGTTCAATTAATCTTGGTAACTTTTGAAAAAAAACTGTTGATAAATGGTGGGGAAAGTTAAATGAATCGGTGACCACAGCGCAATCTCACCTCTCAACGATTAATGGTCATCTTGCACAACGATTCGTTGATTTCTTCGAAGTCTTTTTTGTGATTTTTGTGGAATTTTTTGATAAAAGAAACGTTACAAATATTTGAAGGGCAATCTGCAGGATTGAACAATTGTTCCTTAAACAATTTTTAGGTGATTGTGGATGCATTAAATGTTTTTTTTTCATTGAAATAGTTCAGAATTAAACTTTATGTCTGCCATGTTGGGGCTATTGATTCTGTGGATTGCTTGTGGGTTCCGTAATATTTTGTGGCAATGTAAATAGATGAAATGCGTACTAACTTTATCATGGTTAGTCTTATGACGTTTTTATTGTATATAATGCGTTTACGAGCCTTTGAACTTTCCACTTGCTATAAAAAACTTAAAAATTATTGTTTTGTAAATCAAATTTAATGCGATTTTTTAAAATCGCCATAAATTTAAGATTTCTCCACAATTTTACAACATGTTTGATCCATATCTCTGTATTTTGTGCTTCTTTTTGCTTCTGATTTCTCGCGTTTCCTCGAGCTTTTCAATTTTATTCTTACTGTATTCTTCTTTTCCCCCGTGTTTTCCCATTGTCTTCTGTTTGTTACAGCATTTCTCAAAAAGACACCCCATTTGCATAAACAATATGTTTTCGTGTTTCAAAATCGTATCCAGAATGGTCTCCGCTGTGTAATCGATGAATAATTGTTATTTTTACTAAATTTGGCCGATCGAAAATTCTCCTTTCAATGATTCGCGGGTTTCGAAACCCGCGAAAAAACACTTTTTTTGTGTTTCTTCAAAGTGCAACAAGTCAAAGGAACCAAAAGATAAGCGGGTACGGTCGGAAAAGGTTCACGAAGACGTCAAGTTTTCTAATATCCCGGTGTGAACTCACGTAATCAATGATAAAATTTAAGCGGTGTGTTATGGAAATGGAGGAGAACGTATTTCAATTTGGAAAAGAAAAAGATAAATAATAATAAAAATAATACATATTACGGAAGAGACAGGCTGCAATCTTAGGACGTCTGACGTCTGGAAAGACTTCTGATCATAAGAAGTTCGAATAAGTCACCATTTTTACAAAAGGGCGAGATGCTATGGCGTATTTATTGTAAATCTACAAGTTATCACCTTCTGATTCAATAAACATCACAGATTTTGTGGTCTCCTAGAGAATCTGTCAATTTCAAATTGTTTACAGCCCGGCTGCAACCCGTTGACATCATTTCCGATCCTTCATAATTTTCTTGTTGTCTTATCAGAATGTAAAATTTGAAGCGAAAGAACCAAAGTTTAAAATTTGAGAATTGACATTTGAGAACGCTATAAATTCTTTTTTATAGCTCTATCAAACAGTGATTCGACCGGCTTAATGGTCAGTTAGCCAAAGAGATGTCGCTATTTTCTAATCTTTGAGTATCAACCTTTATGCCTACGCCGCTCTATCCAATGTGTTCACAAACCCCATATATCAGGAAAAACGTTTTTTGGACACAAACTCTTGTCCGAGTCACGACCAGATCCCCCTGACGTCAGCACCAAGAGCCACAAATCACCACCCCCACGTAGCATCGCTTCTTGTCCCGTTAACGTTTATGCTTTCTTGTTCAGGAAGTCATTTGACAAACGAACAATGCTCAAACAACACACGGCGAGCATTATCCATGTTTGATCAGACAATTTGCGATGTTATTGTTCCTATTTCGGGCCGAAGATGAGTCAGACTTTGATTTAATGTTCTGATAATAAAGCCGGGCTATTCTCCGGAAGAACGTCATCAAATTTATAACGTCAAGAGGGCGAAGAGATCAGGCGAATCAGAAAATTATAAGCGATGATTAGCAACGCCTTTGGTTTGTTAGGACAGCGGACTGCACGAGCCTAGAAAGAACGAAATTGATATAAAAAAGTTGTTTAAAAATGTTCAATGAGGAGATGCAAGGGACATTGAAAATGACAAACTTTTGGTTGATATCGAAAACGAATGAAAGTTTAATCAAGAAAACGTAGGCTTAAATTTGGGACTTGCCCCGAAAATTTTGTTCGATGACTTCAAAGATTTTGGGCTTAAAAACATTTTAAGTTGTGGTACGCAGAGTTTGCAAAAATGTTAAAAAAATCGCTGTTTCCTTATTCCGCAATCGGCTTGTTATTCTTTCCAAATTTTCACAAAACACCACAAAAAACGCTAAGAATTATCATCAAAAAACAGCAGCCTTCAAAAATTGGACTTTTTATTTTTTTTTCTTTAATCCTTTGTTCTTTTACGCCTCATTTATTGATAAAAATTGATTTTCTTTCCCAAAACAGATCACAAACACTCTGTTTGTTTATAAATCACAGCTCAAGATACAACCGTATGTATCACTTTTCTTTGTTTTATTGCTACTTTCCTCAGGACTGTGATTCGGAAGTCTAATAATCTCATGTTCTTTATGTTGTTACGATTGGGACAGGCTCTTTAATTGCCCGTGGCATGTGAAAATAACACGTAAAGCTTGATTGCCTTGGGGTGAAAAGACCAAGAACTTGAAGGTGTTTTGCGAGTAAGCGGCGCTCCATTATCATCCCGTATCACGTCATGAGAGCGATTCTGATGTCCTTTATGTAGCAAGCTCAACGCACGCGGAATCGATTGTATTTTGGTAAAAGGGCATGCGGAAATCACGCTGATTTAGGCTGGGAGTGGCTGAGTATGGTCCACAACAAACAATGGTTATAAAAAATGATTTAAGCAGTGACATACTTCGTAAAAATGTGATGTACATCATTGCAATAAAATGTGAGTTGTGCGAGCAGTTTTCAGGGTGGTAAAGTATAATAAAGCATACTAGAAAGTAGAAAAGATCAGTGTGTAAACAGTTTCAGGGCAAACAGAGTCGCTTAATCAGCCTTCTCTTATCAAAAAACGGTAATTTGAAAAGAGGAGGCCAGCTTCCAAACTCCTCGCCTCTGCAAACTTAGAATGGATGAGGGGTTACAAAGTGAAGGAGAGATCAATGTATCAAGATCAATAAACATTCATGATCTGCGAGACCTACATGGCTGCTTTTGCGTCTTAGATACGGATACGATGATAGGTTGATGTCGTAGATAAGTCAAGAAAATTCGTAAAGAATTAGAATCGATTGCGTAAAGAATGTAGTTTACGAGGAT